CACAGTGGACACCGAAGGCGGCCACAGGTTCTTGTCGGCAATGTTTGGGTGCATTTGGTGAACGCGACTTTCTTAACTCGACAATTCACACGCGCCCGCTGCCAGCAGCGTGATGTCAAGGCCAGCCACGTGGTGTGCCTCGCTCCCCCCTCCCCCTCACCCCTCTTTATATTTGTCTTTATATTTTTAACTCAAATTGTCCATTATAAAATGTGAAATTGTAGCGAGAGGGTCACACACGCGAGCGCTCTTTCTGGAAGTAATTACAGCGACACCCCGACCACTCGAGTCGAACACCCCCCCTCCCCCCCCGCCCCGCCCCCCCTCTTCACGCATCGCTCACCGCAGGCCTACCATTAGCAGGTACAGCGTCAATCACAAGGTGGGCACCTGCTGATTTGGAAACTCTCACAAAGGTAGAGCAAATTGCCAGTGTGAGTGCTCACCCGGGTTCTGCATGAGGGGACACACGGAGACACAAAGACAAAGATCGTCCGTGTAGCCGTAACAGACTGTTGGGGCAAGTGCTGTTTAGCGAGCACCTATGAAGGCCAGAACGGCACACGAGGTGTGGGTGGCCAGCACCACGCCCGGTCGCCTTTGTCTCCCGAGTGGCGATGTTTACACACCGCACCAGGTACTCATTTGAGGCCGAGTCGACCTAGGGGAGGCCCATGACCGGTTCAGATACTCGTCACCGATGTTGGCCGTGAGCGGTAATCAAACTCGGGACGGATACAACGACAAGCGCCGTTCGCCACTTAGTGGCGGCGAAGTCGCCACGGCGCTTGTGCCAGGCGAGCCGCATTGTGAGGCCACGCGAAGTGTCAGATGGCTCGCTGACAGGAGGGACAAACCCAGGTGCCATGGGTTGACTAACTCACTGGCAGATGCACCGACGGTGCTCACCACTGTGACACACTAATAGATGAAGATCCCTCCTATAGACGACACCGACTGCTGGGGCAAGTGCTGCTAGCGAACAGCTTTATGAAGGTCGGCACGACGCGCCAGGGGGTGTGCGTGGCACGTGCCAACAGAAGTCTGAGAAGTGTTACCATAAACCACATTCTCTACATTGAGTCTCAATCGGCTCTCCTCGAGTGTAGGGGTCTTGATCCATTCATAAAACACATTCCTGCGGAGGGAGCTGGTAGGAACATTGGGTTGCTCGGTCAATGGCCAGGGTCAACGGCAGCGTGGTGTATTCCGCAAATATGCCCGACTGTGAGGGCGGGCACAAGCCGGCGTGAGTAGGTTAAACGTTGAGTTGTATAAGGGCACCACGGGGTGAACAGCTCCTCCTCACCCAGCCCCTCCCCACCCACCCTCCCCACCCAGCCCCTCCCCACCCGGCCCCTCCCCACCTTCCCTACCCAGCCCCCCCCCACCCTCCCTACCCAGCCCCACCCTCCCAATCCAGCCCCTCCCTACCCTCTCCTCCCCACCCAGCCCCTCCCTCCCCACCCAGCCCCTCCCTCCCCACCCAGCCCCTCCCTGCACGACGAACGGACGGACACAATAATCCCCTGTGGGCGGGTGTAACAAGAGGTTCCTACCGGTATAAATCGACTGATTAATTGTTTTTGTCGACCTAAAAAATAATTCGTTGATGGAATCACTGCAGCCCTCAAATGCAGATGAGTGACGCCACTCATCTGCGATTCACAGGTTGGCTACGTACGGTGCGAAAGAAGTTCAACGTACATACGTCACAAAAACCCGGCTCCGTTGTCTCCTCCCGTGGCTTCGACACCGTGGGAATGATTGAGACACGAAGCTGCGAGTGGCTATGTATGCGTGCGGTGTGTGTGGTGTGGTGTGTGTGGTGCGGTGTGTGTGGTGTGGTGTGTGTGTGGTGTGTGGAGGGGGGGTGTGTGGGGGGGTGTGTGTGGAGGGGGGTGTGTGGTGTGTGTGGTGTGTGTGGTGTGTGTGTGGTGTGGTGTGTGGAGGGGGGGTGTGTGTGAGGTGTGGTGTGTGTGGTGTGTGTGGTGTGTGTGTGGTGTGTGTGTGGAGGGGGGTGTGTGTGGGGAGCGGTTGTGCAGTGGTTAGGGCACGTGCGACCCGAGTTCCATTCCCGTTTACGACCAATAACATGGGCGAATGTTTTAATCGGTTCTGGGCACCCCCTATGCCGACTCAGCCTAAAATGACGACCTTGATGCGGCGTGTAAACATTAGCACCGGAGAGACAAAAGCGAACGGGAGTGGTGTTGGCCACCCACCCCATTGTGTGCTGTCCCTGCGGGCTCCCTAACAGCACTTGCCCTCGCAGTCTGTTAAAGCCTCTACAGGGAATATATGTCTTTGCCATGTGTTCTGAACACCAATTAAGTGAAGTTAAATATACTTGTTTAAATACCAACCGATGCAACACTCACGACAAAGCAGGTAAACAGAAATGTACGAACGTCCACCGCTCGCAAGCGCCTCTGCGCCACAGTGCTCTACTTAGCGCGTTGTACTCACAAGTCGACACAATGTAACTCTAAATTTTGATTTGAAGCTTTCGTGACTGCAGGGATTCATCTTCTTGGTTCTTTCGGTAAAGTCACGTAGAAGGGAAGTAATAAAATAATAAAAATAAAACATAATAAAATTATTCTTACGACGTTTCGGCCACAACGCAAGCAGCCGTCCTCAGGTGAAGACCAGGTCCGTCGAGGCGACAGAGTCGCCTCACCTGAGGACGGCTGCTTGCGTTGTGGCCGAAACGTCGTGAGAATAATTTTATTATGTTTTATTTTTATTATTTTATTACTTCCCTTCTACGTGACTGTACCGAAAGAACCAAGAAGACAATGTAACTCACTTCGCATTTGTTTCGGTAATTTGCTTCCAAGGCACAGGAGCGCGAGTGCGGCCATGCAACCCAAACTCTGGACCGCAGAGTGAACCCACTGTGGTCGTCTGCACTCCTTCAACTGAGGAGGAGGAAACAGCGACACGAACTCTCTGCTGAAGCCCATCTCGTCGTGGTCAGTAGCAGACCTCCACATTGGCATTTAGCTCCCGAACCATATTGCTGCTGTGCGCAAGAGTAGTGTCAGCTTGAAAGCGGCAAACAATCGTAGCTCTGAGTCGCCGTGAATTTGAGTTCCACGACCCGAACCGTTCCATGGAAGGTGGGGGGGGGATCCAATCCCCATTCGTGGATGTCGCCACGCCCATCATCCCCTCATTCTCCAATTACCCCCTCCCCCAGACCCCCTCCCCCAACCCCCCTCCCCAGCCCCCCTCCCCAACCCCCCTGCCCCAGCCCCCCTCCCTCAACCCCCCTCGCCCAACCCCAAACCCCCCTCCCCCAGCCCCCCTCCCCCAACCCCCTCCCCCAACCCCCTCTTCCCCAGCGCCCAGGCCACACGACCCTGTATTCCACCCCTCCCCCCAAAATGATTATTTGTCAGAGGGGGGAAAAAAACCGGACGAATTTTTTATTTGCCGTTTTAAAGGGACCGCGTCGCATTCCCCCCTTCCCTTGCTTCGCCGGCGTCTGTGCCGCGCCCGTCTGCGCCTATGGCCTAGTGGTGATACCCGGCTCCTCCCGGCTCTTCCCCACCGCGCCCAGACGAAAGCGAACACCGGCCAGGGGTAACCGAGCAACGCACCGGCTCATACCGGTCACCGGTCCCAGAGCCTCCCTCCGTACCTCCCCATACGCGTACTGTGATACAGCGAACGTAGACACACACACCGGTGCATGCAAACATTCATCCATGTGCGCACACACACACTTAGCTCGCCTGGCTCACGAAGGCGCTAGTCTTTCCACAGTGCGTTGCATGGACCGACGCTGTTGTTCATTGAAACATCCAGATACATACCTTAAAACACACAATTCTGTATTCGCATCACCGCTTCGTGAGTTACACGCGACCGAGCCGGGATGAGTCTAAACACCGTCGTGATGGCCACACGGTTACATTTGCCGACTCACCGCGGTCCGCGCGATCTCGTTCAGCACCCTCTCGGCCGTGGACAGCTCCTGGGCGAGCCGAGCCGGTCCCGGGGTAAAGCCACGGGGAGCCTTGGGAGAAGCAACCCAGGGGGGGGGGGCAAGGCAAGACGGCTGGCAAGAACGTGGAGTGGCAGCTTCTCTCGGCACGAATCACTGCGCTCCTCGCTAGCGACAGGGTTCGGTGTTAGAGGTTTAATTGGGCGGAGAGGGAGAGAGAGCGGGAGAGAGTGAGAGAGTGCAAGCTTGGTACGTACAGTGCCGTCCCTTCTGTATTCGGAGACTCATGGGTCCCGGTCTGATTGTGCGCTTCCGAAAGCGTTTGTGTTACCACGTGTGTGCGTGTGTGCGTGTTTGTGTCTCTGTGTGTATATGGGAGCAGCGATTCGCGCGCGGCGCGATGACCCGAGTTCGATTCCCCCTTAGGGGCCAACACCAGTGACGAATATCTGAACCGGTCCTGGGCATCCCCGACATCTCATCAGCCTCCAATGAATGTCTGGTGCGGCAAACATCGCCACTAGGGAGACAAAGGCGGCCGGGCGTGGTGCTGGCCACCCACCCCCTCGTGTGACGCGACGTAGGTGCTCGCTAACAGAACTTGCCCCAACAGTCTGTACAGGCTATACGAGGGATGTGAATCTTTGTCTTTGCTTGCATGGTGTTTGCTCGCGCGCGTGTGTGTGTGTTTGTAAGTGGTAATTACGGATGTATTTGACTTTGACTGTGCGACGTGTGATCGTGTGCACATGTGTGTGTAAGGATGTGTGTGTACGTGGTGTATGTGTGTGTGCTAATTAGGTATCTTTGTCTGCACACGTGTCCGCGCGCGGCTTTGTTTTGGTGCGCGTGTGTGCGTCTGTTTTATTGTTCCCACACACCTGCCGGCTGAGCAAACGAAACGAACCATGGCATTGTTAATCACTCAGAGCACAAAGCCGAGCCGAGCACTCCACACACGCCTAACCAATGGCACCCACTCCATATGGGAAGGCCGCGAATGGCAATTGTAATTTTTTTTTATTCTAATTTTCTCCGGGTTCTCCCTGTTTCCTCTCACAACGAAGCCAACCACTCATGAATGGAATTGGCCCAACATCGCAAAAGCAGGACCCTCCTGAACAAGCGTCCTGACACTCAGGGATGCGTTTTGCCGTTGTTAATCAAGAAACGTCACAAGAGCATAACTTAAGACATGCATATGAAACCGCGGTGGCGAGATGTTTACGACCTCGCCTGGTATGAAGGAGGTCGCGGGTTCGATCCCGAGCCTGACGCCTGCTGTATGTTTAGAGTTTGCATGTTCTCCCCGTGGTCGCGTGGATTTTTATCCGGGTCACTTCCACATTTAGAATCAACGTGCATTTGGGAGTATTTGGCTGCTTTACATTTCCACGTGATACCACTTCGTTGAGATATCATTTGTGGGCAGATCGCTACTGAAAATGAGGTATACAGCTTTACCTGGTAAAAAAAAGTATAGTTTAATGAGTTGGATCATCGCCTCTATGTATTGGTCACATGCGCATATTTTAATAGATTCAAAGACACCATCAGCGAGACAGACACAACGCGACTGTGTACAGCGCGGGCACGAGTCAGCCACAACAACAATCCACCTGTACAGTCATCACACCGGACAGAGTCCATAACATCGATCAAGATCGATTCATCCACTCACGACGCACGCATCAGATCACGTGGCGAGAGAGAAGATCCTATGCGTTTGTATTCAAAACGGCTTCTGCACGTGGCCCCTTCCAGCTACGAGGTCGCTCGCTACATCCGCCACGATAACAAAATAATAAGCTTTAGTTTTGAAATCGAACCGCCACAATTCGTTAAATCATGGGGTAGGGGGGTGTAAGCGGTTCTCTCTTAATTTGCGTTTAACGTCCTTCACTTAACCCAGGTGAAATCACGACCTTGGATTAACCAGGTGAAAGCACAACCTTGGATTAACCAGGAGCGCGCCAGCTGAGATTCGAGCGAGAGGGATATCCATATCGAAACGTGGGAATCGGCCCGCAGGGAACGAGGGAATCGCACTCGGTATAGGTGTCACGTGGGGGGATGCTGTCCCAGGCTTATTCTTGGCTACAGGGCAAAACATTTCATCCCCGAGGCAGTCACAGCGAGGTCATCGTGACCCTAATTAACTAGGGGGTGGGGCAACAATGAACCGACTCCCCCAATCCCTCCCCCCTCTCTCCTCGAGCTCCACTTACTTAGCATTGCTGGGAATATCACATCCCACGCACATTCACCGATTAATTTGCTCTCCCCATAAGCAGACACTGCAATGATAATACCACGCATTTACTCGATTATTATCACGATTCGATTCTTTATTTTTTCCAGTGAGATGCATGTGGAATCCATAACAGCCGCAGTTGCCATTAACTAATCAACCACAATCTACATGAAGTAATCGATTATGCTCACGATTTAATGGTTTCAAGATACATTATCCCGCTATCTACCGGATGAGCCAATGGGCTCTCATCGAGATGAATGGGAATGGATTGAAATAGCACGCGTCTCTAGAGTGGAGCGGTGGCGCAGCGGTTAGCACAGTGTCAACAATAATCCTGCATTCCGAGTTTGATTTCCAACCCTGGCTAACATTGGTGGCTAGTCCCACCTAAACCAGTTCCGTACCGAATTATGGGCAGGCAACTCCCATGACTGACAATGTGGGGAGGCCTTCATCCCGCAGTGGATTAACAAAGGGCTGTACATTATAGTGTTATTTAGTACATATCTGCTTGTCTGCATGCGTATTTGCATTATACGAGTATCTGCATATGCATGTCTGCACATGTTTATTTAGGTCATGTGTCTGTATGTTTGTGTCTGTGTACTCAGCTAACGTCAGTGGTGAGTGAAATCTGAACCCAGCCAGAGCCTCTCCTACGTCGACTCAGCCATACATAAAAACAAACCTGGTGTGATAACATAACCGCGGGAGAGACGAAGGCGGGCGGACACGGCCCTGGTCTTAATAGGTGTTCGCTAACAGCACTTGCCCCTACAATGTGTACGACTATTACGGGGGGAATATGCATCTTTACATCACGGTGTGGTCTCAGCCAGGCTGTTTTACAACGGATACACGTGGCCCAATTAATAAGCCACCGTTCAGTTGTTCCTGGCGTTGGCTTCATATACAGAGCTACGAGGGGCCCTTGAATGAACGAGGCCAGTAACGATCCACCCCCTCTTCCTCGACGATTCCATTATTGTCCATGATGCAGGGTAGCGATTTGAATGAACAATCGAGTCTCCCTTTCCGTCCGGCTCATTGGTAAAATGGTGTTCATGCCGTGAGCCTAAATGTAACATTAAAAAAAACTAAAATCTGTGAAAATCCAGGGGACGTGTCGGCGGCACGGAGCCTGCGTCGATGGGAGACCACCTTGTGCGGTAAGAGGCACGAGAGTTAAACCGTGACGGAGGAAATCGATGTTGCTCGACTTTGCGAGTGGACCTCGCGTGCAGCTTGCCCAGTGGTTATAGAAACGTCACGGCGGCGGGTCTGATCCACAAGAGCTCATATTCCACGACACGCATTTAGCATGACACGGGTGTGTGTATGTGTGTGTGGGGAGCGGTAGTGTAGCGGTTAGTGCGCTGCGCTACGAACCCAGCGACCCGAGTTCGACTCCCGCTCAAGGCTAACACCAGTGACGATTATTAGATCGACTCAGCTTCAAAAGAGTACATCGCCACGAGGGAGCGTGGTGTTGGCTACCCACCCCCTCGTGTGCCGTTCCGGCCTTCATAAGTGCTCACTAACAGCACTTGCCCCAACAGTCTATTAAGACTATACCGGGAAATATTTTGTCTTCGTGGGGTGGTGGCCCAGTGGTTAGGACGGTGGCGCCGCTGTTGTTACCGCACGATATTATGAGTTCGATTCCGAGTCACGGTCGAGCATCAGCGGAGAGTCGTAGCTGCTCCTTTCGTAGGCATCCCCTCGACCAGGGGTGAGGAACGGCCATATAAGGCCCGCGAAATCATTTTGTGTGGCCCTGCCAAGGCAACCGCAGGCGGGACTCCAAATTCAATAAATCTCGGAGCAAACCTGGAAAATCAGTTGCGATTAGCAACATCATCAATACCAGCTAACATCACACGCCTCGCCAAAGAGAAGCAGTTCCAGCCATCACATTAGGGGTGAGTTAATAAAATGTTAGACCAGATCTAACGGGCGCATTTTTAAGTTAATAATTTTGTATGATGTTATAAATATCCAAATGGCCCTTGGCAGAAAAAGGGTTCCCCGCCCCTGCCCTAGGTCGAATCAGATGTAACATGAATTGCTTCAACAGTTTGTGAGACAGAGAGCGGTGCGCGATTCTGATGAAGCACGGCTATTTGTCGAGTCCTCTTGAAGGACGATGAGGTTGGGTCCATCATCGTCGTCGATGTACCAATGCTTTAAACCCCCGCACTGAATAACGCGGAGATCTGTGTCGTCCTCAAACCACTCAGAGCTCACGACACCGTGGGCTCTTCACCGCCACCACCCAGGGGAAACTCTCCCCCACCCCCCCCCCCCCCGAGTTTGCTGCACGCATCACTGCGAACCAGGTCCTGCTGGGCGTGGGGTTTCTTTAGATTTGGTTTTCTCAGATTTGTATCAATATTTAATTACAGATTCCCCGTATCTACACATTTGCCGCTCAACGCAAACAAGACTGTGTTAAGGGCACGTTACACAATGTACACACGCCATTGTTTTGTTTGGCAATCTTAAAGTAATGCACTTTTAACCCCTATTTTTTGCCATCTAACCCACTCGTTCTGAACCCGGCCACATATCTGTGTAGCCCAGGTCTCGCCGGTTAACCCTTGCGGGTTAGGGCTTGCGAGCTATTATGCGACACCCGGCGCGGCAGCTAAGCATCGAGTGGAATGGGTGGCACTATTCGTTGAATCACATCATCATCATCGTCGTCGTCGTTACCCTCGTTTCTTTTAAAATATATAAGATATATAACGCACTTGCGATCTGTTAAAACGATTATTCAACCCTCTGCGACGACCGTCAGTCAAACCAGGTGAGTACGGTTTCCATTTATAATCGCGATCATGGAATGTGTGTATAGGTGCGCGCGTCAGCCTGTACATCTATTATGAACACGCAACCCAAATACATTGAGAGAAAAAACACCCCCCCGCCCCCCCCCCCCCCAAAACGTAAACGCTTCGGCCAAAGAGCCGGCACCATGAGGAAGCCGTCTTGCACACGACAGCGGCCGCCCTTCTCAGTGTACGCAATCCTCTCTCTGCTGCTTGGTCGACGACTCCAAAACAGAAAGGACAATCGCGGTGGACAAAAACAATATTTAAAAAACGCCGATCGTCCCCCCCAACGCCCCCCCTCCCCTCCCCCACACCCGCCACCGCCGCCCCCCAGCGCCACCACTTCACCCAGGCGGCCCCCGTGGTGTGTGGCCCGGGCGGCCCCGGAAGGCGCAGGGCGGCTCCGCGAGCCCAGCCCCCGACTCGGCAAAGGGGCGGCGGCGATGGCCCCACGGGACCCGACCCGGTCCGGCCCGGCCCGGCCTGGCCTGGCCCACACCGATCTCCCGAACGACGACGGCGTCCCGTGTGTAATAATAAATAAAATCAGATACTAATTTTATATATATAAAAACACAAAAATATATCACCATCTGCTCCAAGATTAAAAATAAACCCCAGTAAATCAATCCACCGTAAAACAAGTCCGTGCTCCTCCTGTCGAACTTGTAGTGGTTTTGGCCCCAAAACGAGATGGCGTTTTAGCCCGGTCCGCAACTTGGCTCAAAAAATGTTTCTGCTGCGAACGAGCACCGTTTCGTGGCTTAGTTTTTTCGCGAACGAAATTATTTCCTAAAAGTGACTCTGCCAAGTCGAACGATGAGTGAGCAGCGTTAGGTACGTACAGGATGTGGCTGGCCACGTGGCATGCTGTGGTGTTCCTCCCTGCTGTTTGCGAGCGCACCCTGCAAGAGTCGCTACATCCAAGTTCAACGTTTTAGAGATGTTTGCCAAGGGACAAGCGGATAAGCGATCAATGTCACGAGCAGCTATTTGGATATTTAAAAAAAGAAACGGCACATGTTGCACGTGTACGTACGTGTACGTGCGTGAGCGTACGTGGGCTGCCACGTTTCCGTGATCTTTACAAGCACCCTGTGACTAATTCTACGAAGTCTCTGGATGACGGAGAGATTTGGCGAGTGAGGTTTTTGCAGAGCGCAATAGCTGGCCAAAAAGGAAACTGCAAAGCGCGGAGCGAATAAGCTTCGCCCGGCAGCTCCTCGGTACGGACCGGGCCAGAAGAGTCGATCCTACTCGAACCGCCGGCATGGACTGGCGGTTCGAGTCGAGGAAGGCTCAATGGAAACTAGTCCTGTAAACAAAATAAAATTCACCGCACCGTTATCATCATCTTAATCCTGACCATCGTCGTGTTAATCGTCGTCATCATCAAAACTTCACGATCGCATTTTTTGTCAAACGTTAAAAGAAACCGAACCAACTCTGTAGCGGCGTGCGTCACAGACTTGCGACACCGACGAGGAGGAGGCGGCCCCGACGATCGATTCGGAACAAAGGCAACCGTTTTTTTTTGCGGTCAAGCGACGTGGAATGTTTGCATAATTTTTTTTTTAACTACAGTAAACGACCACCACAGCGACAGACAACCACCTGCACTACGAGGTGTTTTTGCATCACTAATATAGAGACACCATTTAAATCTTTTTCATATTCAGCAACGACAACAACAAAAATTCCGAATCAAGAAACTGCGGTTTCCGACAGAGGATTGGGGGGGGGGGCTCTGAGAACATCGGGTGTGAGTTTATGGACACTGCCTTAAAACACTCCGGCTGATTAAGACGACTTTCCGACGCGGATTATCACACTGAACGCATCAAGTCACCCGCGAGGGTTCTGTGTGTGTGGCGGAGGCAGGGGGGGCAGGGGTGGCAGGGGGGGCCGGGGGGGCAGGGCGGGCGCGAGAGGCGGGCGACACGGAGAATGGCGGAGCGCTCGCGGCTGCTCGGTGGTGAGCAGGCGCCGGAAGGGAGGGAGGGTTGACGACGCCATATGCGTCGCGACAGGCGAGATGACTCAGTCGTCGGCGGCGGCGGTGGAGTCGCCCCGAGCCTCCCTCTGGCTGCCCTTCTTCTGCCGCTGTTTGCTCTTCTTCAGCATGCTCACCTGGGCACACGGTGGTCCATTGTCAGGCGCGCACAGCGACGCGGAGGCTCACCGCTTCAATCGACGCGGCGACGAGGGCATCGGACCACACCAACACCGGCATCAGACAAAGATCCCCCGTACAGCCTTAACAGACTGTTGGGACAAGTGCTGTTAGCGAGTAGCACCTATGAAGGCTGGCAAGGCACAAGAGGGGGGTGTGTGGCCATCACCACACCCGGCCGCCTTTGTCTCCCAAGTGGCGATGTTGACACACGGCACCAAGTATTCATTTGAGGCTGAGTCGATTTAGGGGTGGCCCAGGACCGATTCAGATAATCTTTATCTGTGAGTGGGAATCTAACTCGGGTCGTCAGGCATAGAGAGCAGCGCGCGAACCGCTACACTACCGCACCCCCACACAGACACGTGTCTCATTAACACCTACACACAGCCAACATTCTCCACGGGCTCCCGTGACGTCAGAATTATCCCAATTACATCTCCGTGTGAAACAACGGTAGCGCACACTGCCATGGCGAGCGGGTGTCGAGGGATCATCGGTCTCTCGGAGTAGGAGCTGCCACATCCGTGGGTCTCGTTTCTATGAATTACAAGGCACGAGGCAGCAGGTGACACAGCGCAGTGGTGACACTCACGCCTCGCGGATAGAACAGCCTGGGTTCAATTCCCGACTCTGCGTGAGGTTTGTATGTTCTCCCCCTGTTCCGCATGGGTTTCCTCCGGGTTCTCCGATTTAGTCCACACAATGTAAGTGGTATTTAGCCAAATATCGGCATGATAAAAAAAGATCTGTAAATTACTCTATTGGAATTACACATAGCAGCAACAACGCCCCCCCCCCCCCCCCCCCCATTGGGAAAACGTGGTAGGACTCTCTTTAAAAGAGTTGAGACTAAGTGAGATTAACAATAAGGTAAGCACAGGTCTCACGGTCAGTTTGCCCTGAAATTTGCCCGATCTGGTCGTATTATGGAAATCAAGCAGCGTTGAATCTGGATAGTCCTTGAAAGGTGGTGGAGTTCCTTAGGACATCCAGGGGTTGTAGACTCGAGCTTGCAAGCTGGCCAGAAGACACCGTTACAAGGGATGAATTTTTGGATACATCAATTAAGACCTTTGGTCGTTATCCCTCCCACGTGCACGTGGTTTTTCTCCGGGCACTCCCGTTGTTCCTCCCACATGAATCCAAACACTCATTAATTACACAAGCGAAACATCACAATGCAGGACCCTCCGGAACAAGTCTTGAGACTCCGGAACAAGTCACAAAGGTCGTGGCAGTTAGGTCCATGCGAGTAGGGGGCTCAGGACAGGGAAAATCAAACAATGAATATTAATATTACGTTTGGAGGAAACAGCCAGCTCTGGTGTAGTGACCTGGTGGGGAGGCACGGGGAGGGGCAAAAGCCGGGGGAGGGGGTAGGGGCAAGGGATGGGGGGCCCAGTGCCGTCACTTACGCGGGGGGGGGGGGGGATGCACACAATAGGTTTTTCAGAGATTGTCGGCCTTTTTGCGACGTTCACTTTCAAACCGTGAACAATGTTGTCAGGCCAATTATTAAATCCCATCGCAAATCGTTTAATGCCCTTCAAATAATGAAACGAGGATTTTTTTTCCCGTTATAACCCAAGGCATAGAAGGGGACAATAAAAAAAAGCAGCAGCCTCTCTCTCTGCGGGAACAATCCCTCAAAAATCCTTTATCGCGATTGTGGCATTTCGTAGTTAAAAGTGCCGCACGGTAACAAGGTTCATCGAGACAAAGGGAGGCTCGAGTGGCCCTTCACGCGGCTGCAACTCGCGGGTGTCAACACCAATGGAGGGCCTTTACAGGCGGGCCATTTGAAGCGAGGAGCTCCTCTACATAAAGGGCTCCTCTGGGACGAAAATTAAAGAAATGAGAGCAGATTGATCTCGCAATTTCAAGCGCGAAGCCAACGGAGGGCTTCAAAACGAAGATTTTTTTTTTTACGCGACGCGCTGCTAGACAGGAGAGACGACAGTCGGAGAGAGCCATTATTTCATTCGGCGCGTAAACGCCAGCGTCGGCTGCCGCGCTACGCCGAACGCGAGCCGGGGTCTGCGAGCCGTGACCCGTCGCTGTTTCTCGCGCCAGACGCCGTCGCCGATGGCTGCCGGCGAACGCGGGGAGGGGGAGTTCCTTCGTGGGCCGCGCGAGCGCATTACTTATGCAAATTTTGGCCTTTGCTGGAGTGACGACGGCAAAACGATGGCGGGAACACGAGCGACGTCGCGGCACCACGATTGGCTGCCACCCCGCGGGTCGCCCACCCGAGAGCGCTTCGCCTTGGGATGGGGGCGTCCGTGCGGTGTTAAGTGGGGGGGGGGGGGTAGCTGGAGGCTCAGGAGCAAGCACTCTTTCCATTGTTTGTAGCGAGAGTCGTGGACGAAAGGTCGACGCCTGTCGGCGATTTAATTGCAGCCGGCAACGCAGATCGAAAAAGTGCTCCGCAGCTGGCAGCCAACAGCGCAGGAAGCGCGCAAGGCTCGCAGAGACTGCAAAGTTGTTATTTTGATGGGAGGCAGGGGAGGGAACGAGATGCGTTCCATGGTGCGGACGTGCGGCGCAAGAAGATGAAATGCGCGCAGCCAACACGACCTGCAGCTCTGCGAGACGGCGCAGGGGTAGAAGCGAACGGGGGAAAAAAACATGGAAAACAGAGACCACCTGAGACTTCAAAAGAAGAAGACGTCGAGAAATGGGTTCCCATTATTATGCGCGCAGGAAAGAAGCTGTTTGCAATCGTCGCCGCGTGAGCATGCGCATTTCCAATTAGCGTGCTCCACCACTCAACGGCGGCTCATTAACGAAATTGCACAATTGTAATTAGTACGCGTGAAAATTTGGTAGTTTTGATTATCGCTTCACGGATGCGCACAGCAGCGTTATAAAAAACGAAATGTCTTTGTTGGTATGTGCGATCTTCACAACAGCAGCTTCTATGCTGGAGTTGAAAATCGGCAGGGGAGAGGGGGGGGGCGGAGGGCACCGCTCCATCATGGAGGACGCTGGCCAAGTTGACCAACAATCACACCCTTCGCTTTAATCATTTACAATCGTATCCAGAGGTCCACGAATAACACTGGTCAACACACTTTTTCTGGCATAAGGTATTCCAACGGTTTTAAGGTAATTTTGGGGTGCTGATTCCAATTCTGTCTATCACATCAGGTTTTTGAGATATCAAATATTGCATTTTCAATAAAAACTGCAGAAGAAAAATATTAAATAAATGTGGATATCTACATAAAATGATATTATAAACACACTATCCTAAAAATACAGCACCATATTTTAACACTAAAGCAGTCACTGACTCGCAACAACTTGCAATCATAAGTGACAGAGTTAATTTCGGGTAAAATCAATGAAAATGGGGTATGCCGATAGCATACAAATGAGATTTGGAATCAGCACCCTGAAATTAGTCTAAAACAGCTGCAAAAGTCCAGGCCAGAATTTTTTTGTTTTTGTTGACCAGTGTAATACTCGATGTAAACCCCAGCCTCCTTCGAGCTCAAGAGGTTCGGTGGTAACAATGTGGAAATCGCGACCTGCAGGTCGCCAGTGACGGGTGTCGGAGATGGTTCATCATCCGTGCAAGTCGATCCAATGAGTACCGCTTCTTGTGGGACGTGAACTCGTCTCTCCAGGGGAATATGGAATTGCACCACTGGTGCTGGAACATTGCTTGTTCGAGCAGGAAGACGCTCTGACTTTTATCAATCCACTGCTGGATGAAGGCACATTGTTGCTATCTCTCACAGCCCCGTGAGTACACGAGTTGATTTCCTCGCTCCGCCTATGCAGCTGACGTCCATCGCCAGGTGTTGCTCTCTCTCCTTCGGTTGCCACACCGTCGATAGTCTCAACCGGCGGCCATCATCCCCACCGGCGACAACGTGTCCTGCCAAACTCCGCTTCCTCTCCGAACACTCCACGAGACGTGCCTCTAAACCCGTGCCTTGTTCTCCGATCCGTGCGATTCTCTTTCCGTCTTTCGGTGGAATTCCAAGCACGTACCTCTCCACGCTTCCCTTTCCGTCATCTGCGTTGACTCCGCCGCAAGCAAGACCTATGCGAGCGGCTGCTGGGCTCTCTGATTATTTAAGTAAAAATCGATTCCTCCAGCGATTAGCGGTTTGGTTACTCACCTTGTCGTGTATAACGGGAAAAAAAGTAGATGGGTTAAAAAAATGAAAGCCTCACCTCCGTTCCCAAAGTGTGTCGCTGGACGGGAGGATGAAGGGCGGGGCTTGGCGACGTCATCGTCAGACACCGTCAAGCAGGGTGTGGCCTGTTGGGGGTTTCCTGCCTTCGGGAGGCAGGATGTCTGGGTGGCAAGCCGTTTTTAAACGGGCCTGGGTAACCGGTAACAATTTGGAGGCGACCAATTGACCAGATCGACAAATTGTCCCCCCTTATCAGTAACCGCCGTGAAAAGAACGTCGCTCGATGGAGAAGCACGGTGGCCGGCGTCTCACCTGCGGCCCGGCCGACACGATGATGTTCCCAGGCGGCTGCAGCCACGGCTCCCCATCCACCTGGATGGGCGTCTCGCGCTGCAACACGACGCGGATAAACTGGCCTTGCGCAATGCGTATTCCGGAGCGAAGACCGCCTTGTACCTGACCCTGTCGGGGGGGGCGGGGGGAGAGGATACAAACATCGAACATCATCGTCACCGTCTGTGTATCCATCGATGTCGCCTGCACCATCTCGACGTTAAAACCTCGGCCGATGCCGGGGCCGCTCTTTGTCGTGCTGCGGTGGTTGTGATCGGACGAGGTTATCGGCAAGTGCATATGTATGTTAAACTTATTTCTCACCATATGTAGCCAACCATGCTAATTGGAGGTGTAGGGGGGAAAGGACAACAAGCTAAACACAAAAATCAGTTCTAAAAATTGTTTTAGTTGTGAATCTATATGATTTCAAAGTGCATAGCTTCAGCGGCTTCCTAATATCGGAAGGGGAGAGCATTCCAGACGGCAGGAGAAGCGCATTTGAAAGCGCGATGCAGCGACCATTCTTGTTCGATGGTTAGCTAAAATCCACTGCTATGAGGATCACAGAGTTTGTGCGATGGTTTAGGTAAACTCTGCGCCTCACCGACTTCTCCTGCTGGGTCAACGGACCCCAACCCGGCTCAAGGTACACGACACACACACTAAGGTACACGAGACACACACACACACACTAAGGCACACGAGACACACACACACACACTAAGGTACACGAGACACACACACACACTAAGGTAGATGAGACACACACACTAAGGTACACTCACACACACAATAAGGTACACGAGACGCACACACATACACTAAGGTACACGAGACACACACACACACACTAAGGTACACGAAACACACGCACACTAAGGTACACGAGACACACACACACACACTAAGGTACACGAGACACACACACACTAAGGTACATGAGACACACACACACTAAGGTACACGAGACACACACACTAAGGTACATGAGACACACACACACACACCAAGGTACACGACACACACACACACTAAGGTACACGAGACACACACACACACTAAGGTGCACGAGACGCACACACTAAGTCACCGTACGGCACGCATGCCCTTCCAGGTCTGTACATACGACCTGGCTACAGGTCTTCCCCTTGTTACAAAGGTGACATATAAACGAAACAATTTTTTATTTACCAGGTAAGGCCCACCGAGCTATATAGCTCTTTTTCAGAAGCGATCTGGCAACAAATGATCTCAACGAAGTGGCTCATCACGTGCAAATTTATAGCAGCCAAACACAATAAACGCATGGGGAAAATCATCAGGGGGGCAAAAACTGGAGGACCTAGAGAAAAATAAACACGACCACGGGGACAAAAATGTAAACTCCAAATATACAGCAGGCATCAAGGTTGGGATTGAACCCACGACCTCCTGTATACCAGGCGAGGTAGCTAACATCTCACAGCCACCGTGGCGCCCTCATCCTTCACGGGACTCTAGGTCTTCCTGTTGGTCGCCGACCTTCCGGTGCCACTCAAGCGCCCTTGTTGGCCACTTGCCGTCCACCATCCCCACCTGGCATTGAAGGGCTCTGTTTAATCGGGTTAGCTGCTGCCTGCCATTTGAGGGCGAATCATTATTACGTTCATCATTGTTCGGTTTCGCACGGATCGCGGCCAGCATCCCCCCCGGGAAAAGTAGAGGGAGGGTGAGGCAGAAAAACCCGCATTAAATCTCAGCCGTCGCCCATTCACGTCACGCATCCGACGCTGGCTGAGCCGCCAAGAAGAAGTCACAGCGGCGTGACGCGCGCGCTGCGACGTCGTACGGCGTTCCGCTATCAGCTGCAAGCCGGAGTAAAAAAGATGACCCTGCGGCAGCTGTTGGGGGATCACATTAACCATCTCCCCAAGGGTTAGAAGGAGAACGGAGGACCTGATATCGAACGATGGCTCTGCCTGCTCGCTCGTCCGTGCGTCCGTCCACAGGGGATTAAATGTCACATTATTCCTAACTCACACACGCACCCATCGTGAAGTCGACCTGCGCTGAAAAAGGATTACCCGTGGGGGATTTGCGGCGTGCGTACAACGTGCCCACCGCAGCGTGCATGCGTGCGGTGGGCGTAGTGACGCAATGCGATGAATTAAATGACCTCCCACCGCCCACCCGCCCGCCGGCGGCAGCAGGAGGCCGTGGCCGCGTGCGAGCGGAATCTCCGCTTGCTGTTTGGCGGCGAGGAGCGGATTTTGGTGTGGGCAGGGTTCCAGTCACCGAGATGCAGGCGAGCGTCGATCTGGGTTCCCGGTTTACAAATCGGAATAAATGACAAAAAACTGTGCCTCAGTGGAAGGCGAAAAAAAAAAAACGCTACCGTTACAGCGTTGTTGAGGATTCAACGTTAAGCACGGTGTTCAATTTGCATGCACAGCACAAAACACTTGAACTTGATTACGGTGATAAGAGCTCTTTAGTTGAAATAATAACAATTTGCGATACGGTTGAGAGAGTTTTTTTCCCCTGCATTACGTCACGTTTCTGTATTTGACCAATTCATCAATGCACACTTTTATGAGTTGTGCACACTAGGAATAACAATGATGGTGACCACCGTGATGATGACGGTGTTGTGGAAATGATAGTGATAGTGGTGGCGATGGCAGTGATACAGACGAGGGCAATGTTGACGATGAATATGACACTTAATTTAAAAAATTATGACGATGATGACAAATATGGATGATAGCGACGGTGATCAACTCCAATGAAGACCACAAAAGTGAAGACGGCGGTTTTGCGCTCACCAGCCTCGGCACCCCGGCCCTGCACCCGACCTCTCCCCATGATCCACGCACCAAGGTGCCCGACTTCCACACCAACAAAATCGAGGGGGCCGCCCACGTTAACTGGAGAGCACAGGGAGCTAATTAGCGGTGGTTTCCTGGGTGAGTGGTGGGCTGACCCTGGATGAAGTGGGGGGGTGGGGTGGGGATGGGTAGCGGGGGGGGGGGCGTGTGCCGGGCAACGCTCCTGACTCTCATACGGCTCCTGACCTCGGCATAACACCTGATCTCGGGCCTTGCGTCCACGCGTTAAGTCAGGTGAGATCCACGGTTGATCGGACCTGGCTCAGGATTCACGTGAAAAAAATTTAATTAATTACAAATTAGAAGGCAGCCTCACCTCTAACTTGTTTTACATAAGGGAGCGAGACGTATGCTGTGCGCCACTCACCACCCTCTCGGCCCCCGCCCGCAAATAAAGCGTGGCGTGGGCACTGACAGTGACTGGGCGACATGCCTGTGATCCGCGTTCCAGCGCTTCGAAGGCAAGGGTTGGTGGATCATGCATTGCTTTGTTAAAGTCCCTACCATGCTGATTTGCCAGTTTCCAGGGCAGCCGAAAGATGATAATACAGCAAATGGGTTCGTTAACCGGTTTATGGCAAGCTGTGAGTGAATGGGACGCGACGGTGATATGTTAATTACCTCGCATGGTATACACGAGGTCATGGGTCCGATCCCAACCCTGACACCTGTAAATTTGAAGTTATTCCTGTGGTTGGGTGGATTTTTCTCTCAGCCCTCCTTTTTTTTCTAAATGATCCGTGGGTTTTCCTCTGGGTGCTCTGCTGTTTCTTCCATATGAAACAACTGCATCCTGCAAGCTAATTCAGAACTCTTTTGACTAAGTGTCGTGAGACTCATTGAAATTTTCTTATTACTTATTACATAACCTGTTAACCCTTGTTGTTTATTAATCGTTCGTGGGTCGACTCAACCAAGGAATTCAATGACAGTCATCCCTGGAGAGAGGACTGGTCCCCCGCCATAGAGGTGGGGAATTTAAATCACTGGCTCAGCGGCCGCCACAGGAAATGACCACAACTCCAATGCTCATTTCAGCAGGGAAACATTTGCAGCACCGGCTCCTGCAACTGCACTTGTATCGACCGCGGGCGAACGTCGGAGATGAAGATGAAATTAAAGGAAAAAAATGTACCCAGCAAACCCTGCTTGGAGCACAAAAACCCACGCCGCTAAGCTGCTCCGGGGCGTCACGTGGGGTTCACGTGCGACTCATGCCGTCCAGCGCCGTTCGATTGTCCCATCATTCCTCGCTGGAGCAACAACAGAATCAATAGCTGGAGCCGCTGCCGTCCTCTGGGTGACCCAAAAAAACCGGCAGAGGAATCATCTGCTCCGATTAGCCGAGTTTATCTATGGCAGGACTGATCAACGAACATCCGTGGATGGATGCTAGTGGAGCCATGATCTCTCTTCCCCGCACAGAAAGGAGGCTCTGCCCCCACCCCATCCCTCTCCTCCCTTCACCCACCCTCCTCCCTCCTTAGCCGATCGCGACCCCTGTAACCGCAGCCATTCACCAGGGCCGTCAGGTCGAGACGGGTTTACCTGCGGTGCAGGGCGGTTGCGTGCATGTACATTTAGTTGCGCCGCGTACGCATGCACTTACCCGCATGCTTGCACTCGTGTGTTATCATGAGCAAGCGATTGTGCTCGCTGAAGGCACATGATTAATTTGGGCAAGAAAGAACCGCTGCTGTGCAAATACTAATTTAGGCGCGTAGGCACGCGCACGCGCAGACACGTGAGCGCAGCACGTGCAGGACGCAAGTCGTATTTCTCAAAGCTGGCATGTTAGCCAATTCCCACGGACAACAGCGGGGCGCTGTTTACATTTGCTAAATAAAATGAGCACCGCTGTGAGATTTGCGTTGGCTCAGTCACGAGTGAGTGAGTTTGGGTGAGTGTGCCTGCGTGTTGGTGTGTGTGTGTGCATGCACACAGACACAAAGTGTGCGTGTGCGGGGCTCGGCAGTACAGTGGTTAGGGCACTGCGCTTTGACCCCGGCGACCTGAGTTAAATTCCTGCGCATAGCCAACATCGGTGACGAATATCTGAGCCGGTCCTGGGCCTCCCCTAGGTTGACACAGTCTTAAATGAGCATTTAGTGCGGTGTGAATACATCAGCAATGGGGAGACAAAGGCAGCCAGGCGTGGTACTGGCCACCCACCCCTCGTGTGCTCTGCCGGCCAAAAGAAGTGCTCACGAACACCAACTGCCCCAGCGGCCTGTGAGAGGCTCTATGGGGGGGGATCTTTGTATTTTGTTTAGCCGGCCCCGATCCCCGGTACGGAGGCCTCAGCGGTGGCCTCGAGGACGTCTTGGCCCCAGCGGTCTCAGCGCAACGGAGTGTCGGGGTGAAATAACTTAACCTTTCTGATCAATGATTGATACCGGATCAATAGAGCGAAGTGGGTGGGATATTGTTCTGTGGAGCGCCGGTCCAGCAGAAGGCAAAATCCAAAAAAGGCAACACCATGGTAAATAATTAAAGAAATCACAGGGGGCAGCGGAAATGCGAAAAATGAATTGGGGAAATGGGACGACTGCGGGCGCATTTACTATTTAATGATTGTTTTTCTTGCTATATACGCGAGGCCAGAAGTGCAATGTTTTATTAATTCTTCTCTTTACTTTCACGCGGCACGTAAAAAAATATCAGGATCGCAGCAGGACCGGTTACTCAAGGGGCCACCCTTGGGCGGTCGCGGTTGATGCATTGCACTTTGCCAGCGCTTAATTTGGCCTAGACGGCGGCACAAAAACAAGGCCCCCCCTGACCCCCCCCTCTCCCGCAGCCCCCCCCCCCCCCCTCGCTGAAACACCCCCCGCTCTCTCGCTCCGGCACGTGCGCAATGAGGGACACCGTGGGATGCTGGGATTTCTAGAACCCGGGCGACAGGCAAGAGAGAGAGTGCTCGGGAGCGATGCGGACGAGAAGGGCCCGGCATTGATCGACGGGCGAGAGATGAGGGGACGGTCGCCCCCCAACCCCCAGAGGCAGGGAATAGGACAAACCGTGGCGGTGAGGAGGAGACGAACGTTCGATGTCAGACGGCCGCTCGCTCGCTCCTCACTCGACCGACTGCCGCTGCCCCCCTTCCGCGGGTCTCCAGATTGATGAGAGACACTACCATCCCCCAAACCCCACCCTCTACCCACACCCCCTTGCTAAGGAATGAGTCCAGAGGGAGGACACCACATGTGTGGCAGGTTCATTAAATTAATTAGAAGTTCACAATGCCCACGGGGGAGGGGGTGAGGTGGGCCCAAGGGTCAACAGGCGAAAAGAAAAGAACATGTCAGGGAGCGCGTGATTACATAACGGCAAAGATGTTTCTGCCGGGCGTCCTCACGTACCATGTGCATGACGCCCGTGACCCCCACGACCTCCAGGAGTCCGTCGTGCATGCACGGCTTGCTGAACTTCCCCTCACTGTCCGAGCCCCACAGATCGGCACCAGAGCCCCAGCTGATGAACACAAGCCCACGGGATCACAGGTCAGTGGCATAGCAAGGCCAGCACATACCTTGCCTTAGCCCATCACACCTTCAGACACATTGCTCAAAAGCATTAGGCCAGATCTAGTTCTGTAACGAGGCAACATTAATGATGATGGTGGCGAGGCATTCAGCCGGTAGTGGAGAAATGATGGCCAATGATGACGAGGATGATGAATATGTACGAGTTCTGAATTTGTGCATACGTGTGCACACGTGTACGTGTGCGAGTTGCCTGTCGACACACGTGTATGTGTGTGAGTTGCCCATGTACACACGTGTATGTGTGTGAGTTGCCCATGGACACACGTGTATGTGTGCGAGTTGCCCATGTATGCACGTGTATATGTGCGAGTTGCCCATGTACACACGTATATGTGTGTGAGTTGCCCATGGACACACGTGTATGTGTGCGAATTGCCCATGTACACACGTGTATGTGTGCGAGTTGCCCATGTACACACGTGTATGTGTGCGAGTTGCCCATGTACACACGTGTATGTGTGCGAGTTGCCCATGTACACACGTGTATGTGTGCGAGTTGCCCATGTACACACGTGTATGTGTGTGAGTTGCCCATGTACACACGTGTATGTGTGCGAGTTGCCCATGTATACACGTGTATGTGTGTGAGTTGCCCATGTACACACGTGTATGTGTGCGAGTTGCCCATGTATACACGTGTATGTGCACAACATGGAGCGACGACAGTAGCCCACAAATGTGGAGGGGGGGGGAAGGCGACGGTACAGGGAATCCTTCGTCTAGCAATTGATAAAGAACGGCTCACGATGGCAATCATCACAATGGTCACGATGACGACGGTGATGACCGTGACAAAATGACGATGTTCACGACAACGGCGATGACGACAATGACGGTGGTGGTGGCGCCGCGGTCGCTGCCGCCGAACGCGGCACGTCGCACCTCGGGATGTTGAGGAAGATGAGCCCCTCCACGCTGGGCAGGTCGATGTCCACGTTGTCCACCTGCACCTTGATGTCCCGGTGGAGGTTGCGGTTGTGCGTGATCTTCTGCAGCCCCACCTTCACGTACACGCTCTTGTTGTGCAGCCTGGGCAAAGGAGAGCGGCCGGACGGTCACACGGAACCCTCTCGAGTCTCTCTCTGTCATTCCGGAGGCAGCCGGCGAAGAGGGGTTAGGCCGCCAGATAAAACGACATCACGGAACGTGAGTCAGTCGGTCGTGCAGTCCGTCCCAAAGGACAATGATTTCTCTTGCATCAGGAGAGATGGAAATCCTTCGGCATTCTAAACGGTTATGTTTGGTTTTTTCGCTTGCAACTAACAAGACCAGCGATTGAACGACCCACACCCTTCCACAGAGATCACACGCACAGTGGGCCGAGGGGAACTCCTGAGACGCAGCAACCACGACTTCTAACCCTCGTCTCCTGGCTTGGTGTTGCTTCTTCATGTCTTCAAGACGCTGTCTCTCACAGCGTCTGGCTGTTTGTAGCGAGCTTTTCCCACAAATTTACAGAAATCTTCCACATCTTCTCAAATTTGAGTGAAGCACATCCTTACAACGCAAAAGCTGACTTCCTCTACTTCACGTAACGTATATACTGCGGCGGCAGGGCGGTTTTCTCTACAGGTTTTGCAATACTCCAAAAGCTAAAATAAAAGGCGAAAAGAACGTGCAATGCAACCGGTACTGGTCAAACGTTTAAACCCTGAACATTCACACTGCAAATCACTCAATTGGGATCATACACAACAGTGGCAACATCGCCCCCTACTGCGAAAACTTGGCTATGACGCTCATGACAAAGATTCCTGAGAATCTGTGCGGCTTTCTTGGGTAAACAAACGGAACGATAAAATTATTGTTCACTTGGAATAGGGAACAATATATATCCATATATAACTATATACAATATATCCTACGTATATATGTAGGATCTGTATTCTGTTTGGATTGATACTTAAAAGTATTCGGTTGATACTATACGAATGCAAACCGTCTTTGTTTTGTTTCATTATCATCACCTGCTGTTGAACTTCCCCGGGTCCTCCTCTCTGGCGTTGTGGAACCCCAGGCTGAGATCGGCATCGACGCCAATCCCAAAGTAATTGTTCATCTGCACGATCTGGTATGGCAGAGTGGGGTGTGGGGGGGCGAGGGGAGGGGGGGCAGCGGAGTGGGGGCAGCATGGTCAGCAAACACCAAACGCCGGGAGGGAAAGGTCACCCGCAGAACAACCACATAATGCACACACAAGCGTAAACATATGCTCCTGAACGTCGAGCCGACGTGCGGGGGGCAGGGGGACGGGCGTTGGCTTGCCGCAGTGAGAGCGTGGTGTAGTTGAATGAGTAGCACCGGAAAAATTTGCGTTGGGACAATAGTGCAACGTTCCTCCTGTTCCTGCAAACCTCCGGGGAGAGGCGGTGGGGGAGAGCCTAACTCACGGCAAAAGTGGCACGCAGATCCCACCGAGAACCCTCGCCGCGTTGACGTTAATACTGAAAAGATTTTCAGTTTGTTTATTGCGATTTTTGTAATCGCCCTTTCCCTTACTCTCCGTTTCATCCCCGAGCTAAAAAGCCAGTTTTATTAATCCAAAACGAAATTATAACTTCAAAGTAAAGATTCATAAGGTGTAGCGTCACAGTGTAACAGCAAATGTGTGACCATGTGCGAGTGTGTGAGTGTGGGGAGCAGTAGCGCAGCGGTTAGCTCGCGGCGTTAAGAACCCGGCAACACGAGTTTGATTCCCACTCACGGCCAACACCAGTGACGATTATATGAACCTATCCCGGGCCTCCCCTAGATCGACTCAACCTCAAGCGAGTCCCTGGTGCGATGTGTAAACATCGCCACTGGGGAGACAAAGGTGGCCGGGCGTGGTGCTGGTTACCCACCCCCTCGTGTGCCGTGCAGGCCTTCTTACGTGCTCGCTCACACCACTTGCTCCAACAGTCTGTTAAGGCTACACGGGGGACCTTTATCTTTGCATGAGTGTGGGTGGGTGAGTGACAGTGGCACCGAGCACGTGCTGGCCTTCGTGGGTGCTCGCTAGCGGCATGGTACTGTGCGTGTGAACATGCGTGACGGTGTGTGCACAAGAAAAAGAACAACCACATACGCACGCACAAACATAAACAAACATGCATCCTCATCATACACACGCGTGTGTGTACTTACATACACGTGTCCACATTCACCGACCGATACACACACATTCACACGAATCCAAAAATACATTATATAGCCTTAAAGACAACTGTTGGGATAAGCTCTGTTCGTGAGCGCCCATTAAAAATGGCGTGGCAGATGAGGAGATGGTGTGTGTGATTAGCATCACGAGACCACCTTTAATCTCCCCAGTTTTGATGTTTATACAGTCCCATATACTAATTTAAGGCTGAGTTGACCAAGGGCATTCCCAGGACCAGCTCTCTATGACCGGAAACCAAACCCAGGACAACCTAAGACCTTGGCGCGGTGCATGAAGCACAGCGCCACCACTCCCCAACATTAACAACGGCTGGCATGCGCTGCCAAGTGACGGTGAATTGTGCCAGAATAGGTGTATTGTGAGGCCGTTGTGTAAAATGTGGAAGGCTCGCTGGCAGGAGGTCAAGGGACAGACCCAGGTGTTATGAGTTAACTGCATGACATGAATCGCAGATGTGCCACCTGTGCTCCCCGCTGTGCCAATTTCCCAACAAAACAAATTGACAAAGACCCCTGGTATAGCCTTAACAGACTGTTGGGACAACACAAATTGACACACACAGACACACAAAGTAGAGATCTTTTCACACCATATCCGGTACTCATTTAACCATATCAAAGACAAAGATCCCCCATATAGTCCTAACACTGTTGGGGCAAGTGCTGTTAGCGAGTAGCACAGCACACAAGGGGGTGAAGGAGGCCAGTACCACGCTGGGCCACCTTTTTATCCCTCGTGGCGATACACACTGCACCAGGTACTCATTTGAGGCCGAGCTAACCTAGGGGAGGCCCAGGACCGGTTCAGATAATCATCACTGGTGTTGGTCATGAGCGGGAATCGAACTCGGGTCACCGGGATCGTAGCGCAGTTCATTAACTACGATGCCACCGCTCCCCCTCCCACAACAAGCACGAACATGCACGCACGCCCACCCTGGGCATGCTGGTCCGCTCTTGTGCACACTCGGGCTCGTTGGCGTCCAGCAGAATGGTCCAGCGGTCCATCTTCACCTCCTGGGCCTCGTCAACGTTGATGAGCACGGAAAGCGGGTCCTCCCCGGAGTAGCCCGGGCCCCAGCGCAGCACCCGTGCCAGGTCATTACCTGCGATAATAACAGAAAATAACAGTACTGCAATGTTTTTTTTATCCATCTGTGCGGAAATTTGAGCGCTGCCTCCCCTCATTTTCTCCAGATATTCTGGTTTCCTCCCCCACCCATAAATGGATTTGAGACTAAGTGAGTCTTTTTGTTGGTTAAATAACGGGTGTTAATATTTGTATTAACCCTGAGCCCTGTTTTAATAGGTGTTCGCCAACATGCTCCACAATCTGGCCCCAAGCACTTTAACCTTCGACCCTACCAGCAAGTAGTACATTTCACCCAAACGACCCTCTGCTGTAGCCACGGTGACCCGGGTCACTGTGGGTGTTGTGGGGCGGAGTGGGGGGGGGTGGAGGGCTCGGCTCACCCGTGCCGAGCGGCAGGATGGCGACGGGCGGCTGTGTGCAGGCGAGCTTCAGCTTGATGTCCTCGAGCAGCGACAGCACCCAGCCCACTGTGCCGTCCCCGCCGCACACCAGCAGCCGGAAACGCGGCACCTCTCGGAATACGTGGAGCCTGCGCGGAGGGAATGCGCGCACGCCTCTCAATGGATGCGTACCACCCCCCCCCCCCCCCCCCACATTTACCCTCGCGCTCGGTACCGCATCAGCGCCGTGCGATATTAACGATTCGTCAGATGTCGAGAGTCGCGATTCCATTTCAAGAGACCGCCTGCCCCCTGGGCCTTATCGACGCTGCCCTCCGGGCCACCGGAAGTGGGGTAGGCCAAAATGGGCAACTTGGCCCAGGAAACCCCACACAAAAGACGCCCCCCGCTGCCCCCCACAAGGTGCCTGTTCCTTCTGTCGCTAACACATAAGGAGACCCCACGTGTCATTCTGCCGCGGCTGTCCCAGAGGCTCACTAGTGCTGGCCCAGCTGCCTGCTTGGCGCAACGGGCCTCCTCATCTGTCCCCGGAAAATGCGGCCTTTGGCGTGGGAACCGGACGCGCAGGCGAGGTCGGGATCATCGGATACGGGTGCTTTACTCGTCGGCGGTAGAGCCCCGGGGTATCACCCAGTCGCCAACAATGCGCCCGACCACGTCACATCTCAGAAGCTAAGCAGGGTGGAGCCTGGAAAGCGCTGCCGTGGGCGATCGCCATAGGCCAAGAGTCAGCAACCTGGGGCTCCGGAACTGCATGCGTCACGTTATTTATAAGGACCACCATCTGTAATTCACATGCATGCATTGCGTTCGAAACAAACGGCTCTTCTTGTTATTTTGGTTGCCGACCCTTGCCATAGGCGGTGACTGCATGGCATGCAGCAGAGGCGAAACCCGCCATCATACCGTACTTCTACGCTCCCCCATTTCCGCCAACCCACACCGACCAGCGTGGCGAGGTTTGTTCAAGGGGACCTCTGCAAGCCGTGCGGCTGCAGTTGCGGACGCCCTCATCCAGCAGCAGATTCGGCAACAGGTGCCGCATGTGCGCACGTCACGGTCCCCCCCCCCCCCGCGCATCGCCACCCCCTGAACCCGCCGACCCTAGCCCGGGCACGTACCCCGGCAAGGGGCCTCCGCAGGCCAGGTCGAACACCTGGTGGGGGTTGACCGCCTTGCGGAAGCTGTGAAGCAGCTCGCGACCCTGCATGCCCCCGCTCCGTGGGTTGATCAGCACCAGCAGGGGGTGGCAGCTGCGTGGCATCTGCTCCGGCTGGGGGTGTAAGCGAGGGTGTGTGTGTGCGAGGAGAGAGGGGGACGTACGTATATTCATGTGTATGCGCGCATGAACGTGTGCGAGAACGTGCGTGAGCGTGTGTTTGTTTGTGCGTGTACATGTACATGTGAAAGTGTGCGTGAGTGCGTGAGTGTATGCATGCGTGCAGGTGTATACGTTCAAGTGCATTTGCATATGCGTTCAGGTGTATGTGTTCACATGTACGTGTGTGTGTGCATGAGTGTGGCCGTAAATACATGTGTGTCAACGTGTGTGCATGTATTGCGGCACATGAGTTGGGGCACGTGTGCGCGTGCATGCATGTATGAATGTGCGTGTGTGTGTGTGTGTGCACAAGGCGAGAGCGAAATGATTAGTGCACAGCATTGCGATCCCAAGTCTGGCGTCCACAGCACCAAATAACCCAGAATGCACCTGATCTCGAAAGCTAAGCAGGCTCGTGTCTGGAAAGTGCTTCAATGGGCGACCACCACACATTAACGTATCTTAACGTCTGCGGGGCTACGTTGTGGCTAGCAGAGGGCAGTGCTGCAAAATCAATTGTTGTACTGTATCATTACATTCCCATGGCCCGTACGGCACGCAGAGGCCCTCCTCCATCCAGCAGTGGACCGAACAAAGGGCTGCCACGTGTGTGTGTCGTTACTATGCGACGAGCGCTCACGATCAGCGTTGGGAGCAGGTTGATGCTAATGATCTTGTCGTCCACCGTGATCTTGCTGTCGTTGGCCAGACGAAACAGGCGCTCCGCCTCCGCGCACGACGACACCTCGAGGGCCACCGCGCCTACAGGGAGGGGGTGGAATGGAGAAACGTGAGATTACGGGAAGGGGGGCACACGGGCAGTATGGGCGGCACAAGGAGGAGGTGCTAAGAAGGCACGGGACATGATGGAGAGTAAGGTTTTTTTTTCTGAGCTATTCTGGTTTGGATGAACCAAGACTCACCCACCAAAATGAGTCTCGACACTCAGTAATGGACAGTTATCACATGTCCCTCTCTGCGTGTCTCTGTGTTCTCTCTCTACGTGTGTGTCTGGTCTGTGTTTCCGTGCCCGTGTTTTGTCTCTCTCTCTCAAATTTAGCATTCTTTGGAAGAACGTTAATCAACCAGGTAGGATGTTGACTGTTGTATTAGCCGACTCTCTGGGTTGTATTGCATTATATTTCTAAGTTTGCTATGTTTGTTTTATCATTCATTCGTACCTGATGATGGTTGCTTGTGTTGCAATCGAAACGTCGTATTATATTATTTAATTTACTTTCTTTCTACGTGACTTAACCGAAAGAACCAAAGAGTAATTCTTGCAGTCACAAAAGCTTAGAATCGAGTTTGTTATCACAGAAGTTACATTCATACCGTTTGAGAAAAGTGATCATCATCAAAATGCCGGTTTCCTGCGCGATCACTGCTGACCACACCATGACCGGCAACTCACTGCACTCGCAGACCTGGTTTAAATCAGCCTCTCGGCGGTGCCATCCAAGGGTCTCCTGACTCAAACATACGCCGGCTGAGCCGCCAGGCCACCTGGCAATGTTTCACAGCCGAGTGGGCCTCATGTTTCACAGCAGGTGGATCTCAACGTTTCACAGTGAGTGGATCTCAGTGTGAGCAGAACTGCTTGTTAAGGCCTCTTGTTGTTGTGGCCAGGAAACATTACATCCGCCGAGGTGTCCGGCCACCCAAGGACACGGCTCACATTTTCACAACAAACTGTAAAACTCTGGATCCAATCACGACGAAATTTTCACCACATCTCACCCTGCACCAATGCTCAGACCTTTATCAATTTTGGGGCAGATTGGCTATTAAATACCTTCATGCAATTTAATTAAGCAGAAATCAATGTCATGCCGTGTGCAGGTGCAATTAGCGCGCGTGCGCCAATGATTAGGAGCGCATGCGCCGGACGTGCGTCCTTTTGCGTCCACGTGAACGCGTTTTATATGCGCACACGTTTCTCTGCACGGTCGATTTCCTGGCTCACGGGCTTGTTTTTATATATGAAGAAACCCTGCAAGGGCAAGTACCTTGTTTGGAGTAGATTTGCGTTATAGTTGCCGTGTTTTCTAAAAAAAGAGAAGCGTAAACATAGTTTATCACGTGGGCATTACAAGGAGAGCATTAACGCAAGTTAGTTCACATCACAAGGTTAACCCGAAATTACCCAGCCAGTACATAAAAATAAAAAAATAAACACAATGACGCATTTCCACTTTATATTACCAATTAAAATATTTCGCTTTAAGATTTTTAAAAAACCTTCAATTGGTTCATGCGCAATTATAATTTTTATAAAAAGATGTGAGGTTAAAAGGAAAATAACCACATTGTCTCTGAAGTGTGAAATGCGTTTCATTACCAAGCCTGGCGCAGGCCCACACACACGAACACAATCCCACACTATATAAATGTACTAACGCACACAATAATGCTTACACACCAGCATGCGCAATTACGCACCGATGCACACATTATTTAATACACCCACACACACAGACACACAGACATGTATGCATACACCAGCACAAATACACACGAAATAAATAAGCACACAATACGCCTCCTTCACATGTCTATCCTCTCGCATAAACAATACGAGTAATAGTATGTTTAGCACAGCCCATTAGCCACACGGCCTTCTGGGAGCGCATCATTTCAGCAGTATTGGTTCAACACAAGCAAAATTGTTGACCGGTTTGGATTTTCAGTGTCTCACCAGCAGCGGAGCTTACTTGAACCAGGCTGGTGAACTGCCAGATGTATATCAGCAAGGACACTCTCTAGGCTAGTTATGCGAGCTATCCGAGACCTGTTAGATACGGGTCTTATACAACAACAACAACAGCCGCCATTCGCCAATAAGTGGCAGTGACGTCACCACGGCGCTCGTGCCAGGCCACAAAGATCCCCCGCATAGCCTTAACAGACTGTTGAGCAAGTGCTATTTGTGAGCACCTATAATAGTGGCGATGTTTACACACCACACCAGGTCATTTGAGGCTGAGTCGACCTAGGGGATGCCCATGACCTTCAAATAATTGACACTGGTATTGGCCATAAGTGGGAATCAAACCTCGATTCGCCAGGTTTGTAGCGCAGCGCACTAACACGACACCACCGCTCCCCAGGCCACACATACAGGCACACAAGCAGGCACGCGTGCAGATCTTCATCTCGAGGCCATGGCAGCGGCATGGACAAGCCACGCGGCAGAGCGGTGCACGGGAGCCAAGGTCGCATACGCACGGTGCCTTCTGGTGAGCGTGACGTACGCACGCGCCCCGGTGCACAAGATGGGTGGCTATCGCAGCTCAGGGTAACTCGTACTCAATCTCGCGGTACAGATAAGGCAGCGCCTATCACCGCCCGCGACTGCGTGCAGGCGCACACTCGCGTGAGCGCGCACACGCTCGGCACGCACACACGCAGAACAACGGACGCTGCCATTCGCTACGATGTCACCATGGCACAAGTGCCAGGTTAGGTGCATTTTGAAGCCGTGAGAAAGCTTCGAATGCACGTGTGCAGGAAGTCAGAGGACAGACCCTGGTGTTGGTGTTATAGACTGGGGGAGACTGGCGCATGAACCACCTGTGCTCCCTACTGCATACAAAGATCCCCCAATAGCCTTTTAATTCTCAGGCTGCTGAGGCAAGCACTGTTAGCGAACGCCGATGAAGACCAGCAACAGTACTTATGGGGGTGGTGTGGCCAGCACCATGCCTGGTTTTATTTGTATGTGTTTGGGTGATTTGTTTACCTTTCTTGTACTTTGCACTATCATGTTTTTGTACTATTTGTTGTAGAAACGTTCTTACCCCGTGCCCCTACTGGACATTTATGAAAAGTAGGTTTATAGCTTATTGTATTCCTCCAGTATAAATACATATTCGGATTCTGGTTGCCCGTGTCTCCCCGGGGCTAAGGATTACACACTGAACCAGGTACTCATTTAATGCCGAGTCGACCAAGGGGAGGGTCCACGATTGGGTTCAGACATTGGCGAGGAAACAAACTCGGGATCGTAGCGGAGTGCACTAATCACTACTCCACGACTCCCCAATGCGTATACACACATTAAAAAATCGCACGCACTCACCATTGAGTTTTACGTGCGTGCGCAGCAGGGAGAGGTAGTCGGGGGCAGCGAGGCCGGGGGGAAGCCCCCCCACCAGCAGCTGGGTGTTGCCGTCCCCATCCAGTTTTGCCGTGATGTAGAAGCGCGTCAGGTTTATCCGCTGCACTGAAAGCTGCACGCACGCACACACATTGATACCCGCACAAACACAGGCACGTACACACACATACACACACGCGCACAAACACACACGCGCACACATACAAGCACATACACCCACCGGCACATACATACACGCACACACGCACAAAGATCCTCTGCTTAGCCTTAAAAACTTCAAGGGGAAATGCCGTTATAGCGAGCACCTATTTAGATTGGCTTGGTACACGAGAGGGTGGTGTAGCCAGCGCCACAGATGTCTGATGTTAACACACTGCACCAGGTGCTCATTTAAGAATGAGCTGACCATGGGAAGTCTCAAGACACAGTTCGGATACCACGCCGTCACTGAAGTTGAGCACGGCTGGGAGTTGAACCCAGGCTGCCGCTGGGATTGCAGCGCAGCGTGTGAACTGCAGTGCCACCGCTCTCCGTATGCGTAAACGCACGCTCGTTACTCGCACGGTTGCACAAGTAGCGCCGCACCCTCTCATCCAAGGAAAGGGCTTTAAATGTCGAGGATTATTAAGTGTTTAAGAATAAATCGTGTTTTCCGATTCATTTATTTCATTTCAATTATATTCCCATTGTGCTGTTGTCTGGCGTCACATCGTTTCATTTATGGCCCTTTTGTTAATCCACTGCTGGATGAAGGCCTGCCCACGCCGTGGGGGTCATTGGGGATTGTTTGCCCATACTTCACCACACTTGCTCAGTGCGGGATGGTGAAGAGGACGGGACCAACACCGGTTTGGATATCAGAATCTGGATATTTATTTATACCGGATGATCCGATGAGCTATGAAGCTCTTTTTCACAGATGTCCAGTGTATCACTCGCCATGAACGGGAAATTGTGCTTGGGTCGCGCGGGTTTGTGGCACGGTGCGCGAACCGCGGGCACCCCCCCCCCCCCCCCGCTGCCCCAGCCATGTCGCTACGATGAAGACAGCTGTGGTGGTGCCATCGCATTGCTCCAGGGATCGGCGCCGGAAGATGACCTCGCAGAACTACTTCCGAAGCCTCTTAGAAATAATTATTTTTTTTGTATATATACAAATCACTGGCAAACATTTAATATGCCCAACCAAAAGGATTTGCCGCCTGGAAATCGAAGCTAAAAATTTGTAATTCTCAATCCAGAGTTTTGCCGAGTTAAGTGAAAAAAAGCCAATCCTAACAAGGTTTATTTTTGCGTGTGCAGCCATCGCTAAGTAGGTTGAGATGTTCCTCTCAATACACTGGAGATCAAAGTCTCATTCATAGCAGTTCCATTCTGGATTGGAGCCCAGGTTTCTCAGTGGTGCGGTCTCACTGCTATGACCCCCAACCCCTCCTCCTCACCGCACCCAGGTCACCCGGCCACTTCTGTCCCATGCTTTCCTTTCTCTGAGCAGGTTTAAAGCAGTGAAAAACCTGTCTTTAATGGCGATTATCATCAAATAATGTGGATGCAACACTGCTGCGAGTTACAATTATTATTTACACGCGTAACGCATGATAATCTCACAAAACAGAGAATGAGCATACATTCTAGATTTGAAGCTTTCGTGACTGCAAGGATTCATACTCTTAGGCTTTTTCGGTAAAGTTACGTAGGTATTATTACTTCTATTAATTTTATTTTTATTTTTCACCTACGTAACTTTACGAAAAAGCCTAAGAGTATTGAGCATACAACAAATATGTAGTAATATTTTATGACTTAATTTGATGATAGCCTTGCGAAATCTCACGACTATTTTTTTACGGGGGTCTCTTGCATTGGGACGTTTGGCCAATTCCAAAGAGATAATGTTTTGCACGTGGGAGGAAAGCGTGGCAACCCGGAGAAAAACCCTCACACGCGCAGGCGGTTTGACGACGAACCCACTTGCTGTGCTGCCACCTCTCGGACACCACGCAGCCCGGCGAGTTTGCGAGTTAGTTTCACGAACATCCGAGCGAGCCACCAAAACCCTTGGGCTCCAAAGTGCCTCGGGTTATTTACAGGGCGGTGCCGCCCGCACCCGGGTCTCAACCGCGTCAGGTGCTGCTGGAACGATTCATCGGGATACGTTCGGCGCACGATGTGAGAAAGGTGCGTATTGATAGTCTCGGGTTGGTCACGCGTTCCGTCGATGTATTATTTTCCAATCGGCACTTGAGGCCGGTTCACAAATCCACACCAAACGAAACGGCATGCGCACACGAGGGCCCTCTGATGGGAGATGGTAACTTGAAGTGGGTGCCGAGATTCATGAACTGGATTCTCTTTTCTTTTCTTCCTTTGCCCGGGGAATAGTTTGTCTGTGTACGTCCGTCCAAAAGCACTGCTCATGTTTTCACAAAAACTCCAAGATTCCTAAACTATCCACTATGGAGCTCACCACACAGCTCACCAATACTAAACTCACCATGCTGCTCACCAACCCCAACACCCAAACGTGTATATTATCATGGGAGAGTACATCCTTTAAAAAAAGGCATTTTAATTTTAAAAAATAACGTCACACTGACTAGCACAATTAACGCGCGCGGACGTGAGAATGAGGGCATTGGCGCGAGAGTCCGCTCGCACGCGCCTAATGCGCGGGTCCGTTTGTGTTTGCGTTTGCGTGGCTTCAGTCCACACTTTGTTTACACGGTTGATGCCGTTGACAAAATAGGGAGGGGCTCCCTTACGGGAGAGACTTGGCAGCTTGCGCCTACATTTGCTGCTGCTGCCTACCTTTCGGATCTCGTGCAGGTGATCCAGCATGCTCTGCTCCATGACCAGCACTCTCCTCTGCACTGAAGATACAAAGGCACCACAAGCAGCAGTCACTCACACGGAAACACTGACATTGAAGACAGATACAAAAACAACAGCAGCACCAGCAGCGGGAGAACTAAAATCCCCCATGCAACCTTTCACAGGCTGCTGAGGCAAGAACTATTAGCGAGCACCTATGAAGGCCGGCACGGCACACGAGGGGGTGGATAGCCAACCCCACTCCCGGCCCCCTTTGTCTCCCCAGTACAGATGCTCATATGCTGCGCCAAGTACTCATTTAAGGCCCAATCGAGCTGGGGTGGTACAGGACAGTTTTTATTTTTTGGCCGATGCTAGCCGTGACCAGGAATTGAACTCAGGTCGCCGGGTTCACAACACAGCATTGCTCCTGCCACTCGTGCCCATTATATTATTTTACTCCGGTCACGGAGTAAAATAATACAATGAGCGGTGGAGAAGTGGCACAGAGATTCGCCCAACGCGCGACAAAACATGGCAACTCGAGTTGGACTGCCGACCAAAGTTAACCCCAGTGGTACATTCTAAACACCACCCTCACCAGCCTGCACTGGCCATCTTGGTGAAATATGGTCAAACGTGCCCCCTGACGGACACAGTGTGGGGTGTTATTATTATGGAAAATAGAGTCTACCAAACAAATGAATCCACTTGTAAGTTTATTCCATTCTACTCTCAACTGTGCTTCTGCTGGACAAGGAGTCCTGATCCATTATTAAACTTTGATTGTATCATTATCAACATTCATAATGCACAAAGGTGGCTTATTTTATTTTTCGATCATTACATTTACATTTGAAAGTAAATACTGCTTAATTCAAATTAAAACTGTATGGGGATGCCACTGAACCAGGGAGCCCTTGTGAGTAACAGCACACTGTGAGTACCGTTAACATGCACATTGCAGAAACCCACAACCCCAGCCAGCATGGCCTAGCGGCGGGGTCTAACTCCTCGCTGAAATACTTCCTGGGTCGCTTGCTGATTGGAGAAGGCACACGACTAGTGGCCAAAGCCCATAGAGAGAAAGAGAGAGAGGGATGTGGTTGGTGTGCCGGCGAGGAAAGATTTTCTCGGTCACCGACCCGGCAAAACCTGGCTGAAAAAAAGCCGCGGTTACCCCCATATCTCATGTAGCGGAGTAAATTTCCATCGCCAAGAGGCCTCAAGGTCCCAGGAACTACCGTGGGAGCTCCTAATGAGCCACACGTCCTGACTAGACAAGTCCAAATTCCCAGCTCCGACCGGCAGTCTCGCGAGTCGGGAGGCAGAATAATCAAATCCGCCCCGCAGACTCCAATTTCGTGGGTCCCATTGTCCAGTCCAGATTTCCGTGGCAGCCAGCCTCCTCCAGTTACATATAAATCAGATGCCCATTCATATGTAAATGCTGCAATATGCATCACGCACGCATCTGGCAGTCACGGAAAGATGCGCCCCCCCCCCCCCCCCTTTCGGGATGCAGGCGCCTGAATTTAACGCACATCAGCAGCAGCAGCTGCCGGAGAAAATATTAATATATAGATATATATGAATATATAATCATGCTTGCGTATTAGCGGCAGTTGCATAAGCGCCGCCAGAAAAAACATTCTGTCCAATTGCAAGGTGCTTTTTATGATAAATCATTATTGATGATGATGGCTGTGATGTGTTTATGTTGTACAATCTGTTCTGTTTCACTTTGTTTAAGAGCGTCTCTGGCTTTGAAGCCAGCGCGCAGTTGCACGGAAATATCACCAACATGAAGGCGGTTGGAGACGGCACAAATTAATTCCGCTGCTTTTATTTTAAAGTCACGTAAAGCGTTTTCTTCTAGGGGTGGAACCTAGCGTTAATAAATTAATCGCTCCGCAGATATTTACCCTAGCTCGGTTTGTGAACGTTGTATGGGAAATGGTTCACGTCAGCCGCTCGGCAGCCACAAGAGGAGCTACCATTCACCGGAATGCTCAAGAAAAGAATCAAATCATTAAATTCCTGATCATTAATCGCAACAAGTAATCAAACACTGGAGGAAGGGCGGTGCATCACTCCACACAGACTCTTCTCTCACACGAAGATTGCATAAAAAATTATTCATTCTAGTACTCTCCTTTTTGTATTTGGATTGTCAACCAACACGGGGAAGAACGACAACTTGTACACCTATTGTTCTCTTTCAGCCCCGCCCACCCCCCCAACACGTTCCATTCATTGGCTACCACATTCAGATAAGCCCCTCCCCCCTCCTCCCCCCTTAACTTGTATTTAAGAACTTGTATCTTGGAATCTTTGCTTCACTTGATACAGCAAATCTAGCTGTGACGGTCCCACCTGATGACGGAGACTTGTGTTGCCTCCGAAACGTCGTGATTTATAATTTTGTTTCTATTATTTATATATATTTTTTATTTATGTTTATTATTTATTTTATTTATTTTACCTACGTGACTTTACCGAAAAAACCTGAGCATAATTATTCATTCACCACAATCTACAAGTTTTCCAAGTCTTTTGCGATGGTAGGAGTCGATGTGTTTCAAAATAGAAAGGCGCAGAAAGCGAAACAGCACGAGGAGACAGCTGCCTGCCGAGTAGCAGCACATAGAGCACACACACAGTACAATGTACATACACAATGTTGTCCCACGTCCAACTGCGTAGCACACGCACATGAGTGAATTCAAACCGCACGATATCGCAAATCTTGGGTAGAAATAGGCTAGCCGCATATACAGCTCAAAATTACACAAACCAAACCGGTGTAGAGGGTGGGAAACCTGTATTTTGGAATTAATTGTTCCACAACCAATTGGGAAACATGTCAGGGGCACACTGAGAGGGCTGTAACCTCCCCCCCTCCCCCACCCCCTGTCCTCCCTCCCTCCCTGCAGCCGATAACCGTCCGTCAGAGACTCTGCAGGTGACGCGACGAGGGTTTAAAGAACGCGCGTGCCGCTAGCGCCATCCGGCGGCAGCGGCTTCGGGCAGGCACCGAGGCGCCACCCTCGCCACGCGCATTTGTCACCGAGAACAATCGGTGGGGGGAACGGAGTAAATAACAGCGGAGGGGCGTGACCCTTAACCTGCTCGCCCGCCAATGCCCTCACTGCCTCCGCAGCAAGGAATGCGGCAGAACCGGTCGGGCGTGGAGATGTAAGTTCTCGCTTGACGTGGCGGCTTTACTGCCGTGTCCTCGCAAGGCAGCGCACGGCAGGCTGCGGTGACCCGTGTGTAGAGAGGATGAGAGAGGAATGAGAGAGAGAGGGGGGGGGGGCTCTACAGGGAGAGAAGGGGGGGCCCTCTCTCCCTGAGTGTTGTCCCCTCACATGTGTGGCGGTTCTTCTCCGGGTGCTATGGTTTCTTACCACGAGGTCAAAATGCCAGGAATGGAATTGGCCAAACATCCTCCTGAAGGTGAGCTTTGAGAGATGCTGCGAGGCTTTCCATTGGCGATGCTTGACCATAATTCACTACACAAGTCCGACTTAATTAATGTTATTTTTCAAGTAAAAAATCAGTCGATACAATATGCTCCCGGCACGTGGTGCGGAACGTCGGACGTCACGAGGTACGAAACGTCAAAGCACCGGTGGAGCCACGAAGCACAACCACAACAACCTACGTGGCAGAACCTCGTTGAGAGTTAACTTCTAATGTATGTGGCTGTTTCTTCACCTAGGTTGTGTTACCAGTCATGCCTGGTTCTTGTGCTCGTAATGCCAGATCTCGCTGGGAAGATAATCTCTGTCTGTTTGGGCTCTCAAATGGCGATGTAATATAAGCATTTTTTTCGTAAAAATGTCTATTTAAGGAACGAAACAAGAGTATTTTTCCACGAATCTGGCTGTCGCCTGAAGATGCTAGTAATTACTGGTGAAACGTCGTACTCAGATTGTAAGTGTTGTGGATTTTCTCTCCAACACACCAGTGTGCTGTACTAGTTATGAATTGGCACGTTCTGTTAGAATGCGGAAATATAAATGTGTCGTTAACCCACCACCACCACCACCCGACACAGCCAATTAGTAAGGTTTGTCACGTAAACAAAACGTACAAATTAGTTAGTACTTCAGCACACCGGTGTGTTGCAGGGCAAACCCATAGCATTTACTTGGAGTAACCACGCGAGAGCTTGCAAGGCCCGCTGGCGCAGCTCGGCCAGTTCCACGAATGAGTGCTCTGGTACGCGGGAGGAAAACGAGGCAGCCACAGGAAAACCCACCGCGCGTACGAGGGCCAAACTAGGAAAGCGCCGCACGGACTGGATCATTGAATCATTCACTTGCTGCTCGCTGCCGTTTTTTGCCCACCTTGCAAAACAGCGAGGGTTTTAGGATTTCTCCAAAATCTAAGAGATCTGCCAACCGCTTGCTCTCTGGGTTATTAACGGTGTGTGCCAACACGCCCGCCGAGCTGAGAGTTACGGTGACCGATTGGATGGGATGCCCACGTCACTCACCTTCCTTGCAGTGCATCATCACCTCCGTCAGCCTGTAGTCATCCGGGCTTTCGTTCTGCGGAAGCACGGACACGGCTCGCATGTTAATACAGCATCCGCACTCTTGTTTCTACGTCGGTAACATCTTGGTGAATAAACACAAAATCAAACACAAGCCCGACGATTGCCCGAAAAGGGCACAGTTCAGATTGAAATATTCGAGAGCTCGGGGTGTCATAAAAGTACAGCACCTCGGATTAGCATGGTTGCCTATGTACGGTACAGCACAGCGCCTGTATGAGCCAAGGTTGCATGTGATGGTGTGCAGCACCGTCTTTTACCTTGCTGAACAGGTGCACAACAAGTGTTACGGTAATTACTTAGGGTGCTATGAAATACTCGATCGTGATATTACGGAACGCAAGGGGCCTCTCGGGCAGGACACGGCGCCGCTCGGAGGGATGATGGCCGGTGGTCAAGACCAACGACAGAGTGACAGCCAAAGCAGCGATCGCGTCCAAGAAGCATCCACCAGCGAAACGAAGCGATGAAAAACTGTAGCTCGTGTGCAAGTTCTATAGGTATATCACTTGTTTACTGTCTTTATCCAGCAAGTGAATTGATCATGGCTGACGATGATGATGATGACAATTGTGATGGTAGTGAATTAATGAAATGAAGCCTAATTGTGTTTGTGGTGAAGTGCAATCCATAGCTCGCATCACATTGTGTTGCGTAGTATGGGTCTCTATGTGGGTCTCCATACAAGTCTCCATGAGAGTCTATGGGTCTCTACGCGAGTCTATGCGAGTCTCACCCACAAGTGGGGAATTAAGGAGATGAAGCTCAATTGTGAGTGCGGTGTACAGCATTGCCCACCACTCTCATCGCCAAACCGCTTTTGCAGGCGATACAAACGGAATCCATCTGGGGGCCCCAGCAGCCATCGAACGGCTTCTCCAAAATCAATACAGGGCCACCAAAACCCGGCCGTGGCTTTTCAAATGCCGTACGAGAGACGCTACAAACCTGATTGTAATCGTAGCGACTATAATCGTATCGACTGTAATCGTATCGAGTGTCAAGTGCTCGGGTGTCAAGCACTGACCTTGCGTCCGAGCAGCAGCAGGACCTCCGTGATGACGGATCGCACCGTGTGGCTCTCGTCGATGCGGAACGACACATACGCCACACCTTTGCTGCATATCCCCCACACACAACCGCGGCACAGACAGCGATACAACACGCGTTACGCGCTGCATCCATCGCCAGCGACCCTGCGGCGGCCGCTTCAAGCCATTCGTGTCTAATTCCGCACGAGAGGGACCGCGGCCGGTGCTGGAGACTAACATCGTTCGTCCTGTCCCGCAACCTCCGGTCGGCCTCAAATGACCTCCTTGTCAAGCCCGTCGTCTCTGGAACTCCCAGACAAGACGAAAGTTGCTTCTCCGTCCACGGCTTCAATTGTCTGGAAGTTACTGCCTCCTCCTCCGTCTAGCTCACAAAGCCACACATCGGCGCTGGTGTCCTCACTTCCGTCAGAATGTCAAGCCTCTTGTTTCTCTTTCATTTATTCTCCCATGCCTTCGGAACGTCCTTTGCCAGTTGAATTTGCGTGCGTCACAAATGTTGCTCACCAATAAATGGAGCACGACGGAGAGGGCGACCGTTAGGGAGACGGCGCGGTAAGATTGGCTTGTGTGCGCAAGCCGGGTGGATTGTTCGTCGTGTAATCATGAGGCATGGCAATGAATTCAGGAGATATTCATGACCTTCATCCAGCAGTGGATAGATTGTGGCTGATGATGACGACGACGCCGAGGGACCAAGGCATAGGAAACGCCGACTGCATAAGCATCTAAATTAAATTTGGTTCGCCACTGAATTTGCCAAAATTCTAGCTCTTGAGAATTCTGTTGGTTAAGACTGCCATGTGACGAACATTTCTCCACAGCAGGGCATGTGGGATTGTACGCCCTTAAATGATTGTATTAAAAAAAGTCACCTATAGGGAGATCTAGCTCTAGTTTTGTGCCATCGCTTTCCGCAGGCAGGCTATTCTCAAAACACCCGGGGGGTTTGCACTGCTCTACGGGAGGTCCCAATGGACGTTTCGTGTCATTACACCGACCACACAAATTCCAACAAAAGTGGTAAAAGGACAAAATTACTTTGAAAAACGATTCCAGTCAGAAGACGCTGACAGTTCCTGTGGCACAACATTAACAACTCGGATGCACCGATATTTGCCTAACAATCAATTCCCTCTGCCGAACTGCAGCAGTACAAAGTAACTTCTCTTGCACTGACAGCAGCTACAGTTAATTGATACTAATCTTAACTTTTAATTATGGTACACACGAAATAATTAATAAGCGCACGGCGAGCGATTGCATAAGAGCGCGTAATTAAAATATAAAAATACAACGGCGCCTTCAAAGAACATTCGTGTCACAATTAAAGCGAGCTGCTGCACAACCACAGCGATGAATCGCGCGCGGTGCAGCCTGGCGGCACGTGCATTGAGGTTTGATCGCGCGTGGCCGCAAATTAATGAGCTGTGGGAGGAGGCGAGACCTCCACGGCATGCATGCACACTCTGCGGAACAAAGATGATCAATGCAAAATAATAACGGCGCTTAATTGTACCCAGGAAAGCCTCACTGAGGCTTTGAGAAATGTGTTTTCAAGATCATCCGGCGTGGAAAGCTTGACCAACATCGTATCAAGCGTTTTACACGTGGGAGGAAATAGAGTGCCCGGAGAAAAGCCATGCATACAAAAGAAGAACGTGAAAAAAATATAAATCGGAAATTATAATGATAATAATGCAATAAGTAATGCACGCAATGATTCAAGGACATAAATGACCATGGCTATGAGGCGTGGAGCCAATCTGAGTGTCGCTCAAAAGCCAGGTGAGAGAGGTGGGGCCTTTAAGAGAGAGGGTGGAGCCTTTAAGTGTCTATTCAAGTCGGTGCAGAATGAACGTCGCTGCTGAGAATGTGCAGCGGGACGAAGATGGCCGCATTCCAGATGGCGGGGGCTGCCACGGTTAAACCGCGCCTGGCAGTGACGATGTCGGTGTTTGGTGAGGAGAGGGGGTTGTGAGCCGGGCCGTGGAGAGGTCTGATCATTTCAGCAGGAACGAACAGGCACCATGAAGTCTGTGGCTGAGGTCTAGGCCTCCCCTCCACTTAACGAGGTGTTCTAAGTAGAGAGTAACTTGAGGTAGCCGGGGTCGTAAGCTCTGAATGTACAGGCAAGGGTCACATCATCATCATGGCCGCTACAATTGCTTGCTCAAGCAAACGCAGCGGAGAGTAGCGTGGGGAGCAGCACGGGCAGCAATGTGGGGGAGAGCATCATGGAGAGCTCGCGAGGGTAGCAGCATGGAGAGTAGCGACGGTAGCAACGTGGGGGGTAGCACAGGGAGCAGCATGGAAAGTAGCGCAGGGAGTAGGGCAGAAAGCAGAACGGGGAGCAGCGCGGGGAGCAGGGCTCACCATAGCCAGTCAGCGTAGATCTTCACAACCTCGGAGGAGGAGCGCTTGGCCCGGATCACGTACGCCTCCGGGAGAGTGTCGCGGAACACCTGCACACAAGAGGAGGCCGTGTGTTCCAGCGTCACGGTTCAAATTCACAAAATTTGAAAATACCGTTTCGGGAAAGTTTCCACTGGTGGGGAGCGGGGGTCCCGTTGGCGAGCGTGCCACAGCGGGGATTTGATCGGTTGAGATGACATGATAATGTACTGTGCTTTTTAAATTCCAGGACTCATTGAACGGGTGCCATATTCACGCAAATCTCTGTCCTTTCATGCTGCCAAACCCACAGGAGACATCCATTCCCCTCCTGGCCCGACCACATGAAGCCGTTAATTGGCTGTTTGTTGTCAATAATACCACATTTAAATATATCTGTGAATCAGTTACTGAGGCTGGAGTACAGTCATACGTTTAAGACAGGTTCCCCTCTGTAATTCCCGGTTAAAATGCTGGAATACAGCAAATCAGCGGTGCCATGGTGGCGAGATGTTAACTACCTCGCCTGGTATGCAGAGAGTCGTGGGTTCAATCGCAACCCTGACGCATGTATATTTGGAGTTTGCATGTTCTCCCCGTGGTCGCGTTGATTTTTCTCCGAGTCCTCCGGTTTTTTCCCTCCCCGTTTAGAAACACGCGTTATAAATTCCCACATGATCAGCCACTTAGTTGGCGATCAATTGTGGCCAGGTCACTTCTGAAAAAGAGCTATAAAGTTAAGTGGGCCTTACCTTGGTAAAATAAGTATTTTTTAATGATAACGCCATGCTCTTCATCCTAACACTCCACCAATAATGCTTGCAACACGCACATCCTTCCTAAGTGTTTCACAACTCAGCCAATGTCAGGCTGTGTCATTTTATCCAGGTACGGCAATCAGCTGCTCAACGCACACGCACGCGCTTCTCGAGCCATGTTCCGTGCTTTCAGGCGTCGCTTACAATCACAGAGGTCAACGAACCCAATGTCAATACTCAATACTATGGAAACATGCACGCATCGAATTGCACGATTTACGTTCCTCCATTCTCATCACTAACATCATCATTATGATCAGCCATGATCAATCCACCGTCAGATAAAGGCCCGTTGCCCATGTCTTTACCTTTTCGTCGTCGCTATCCTGCAATGTGGCCAACTGGTGTCTCCAGAGCCGCATGCGGCTCTTTAATCCACCACATGCGGCTCTATCGAAGGGGCATAACGTAGAACGCGCTACTATTACAGTATGTCTCCTGTGCTGTGCCAAAACTGTCAATATATAAACACAATTGGCTCGTTGCAAAACTCACGGGCACTAATTGGCTCTCGGTCTGTTACAGGTTGGCCACCCCTGACCTAGCACACGGGATGATTTCAACTGCCGACATCCTTTCAGATGCGTTACATTCCTCGGCCGTCAATCTGATCAGCGTACGCTGTGGGTAACGGGTTCACGTCAGCTGATAGCGGCGCGACCGTTCGCTGAAACACTGAAAAAGAGAATCGATTCTTTTCATCGAATTCTGACCCCCCCCCCCGAACCGTCACAATTCACAGAGTCGCGAGGTGGCGGGGGGGGGCAATTGTTACACTGCAGCTCGTTACATCCGGTGGGTGCGCGCTACGAATTAACGTTATTGCACTCTGGAGAAGCGTGTTCCACAATAGGCGCTTTACAAATGAACGTATTGGCGGTACACCGGTGCGCAGGATTTAAAAAAAAATGTTCGCAATAATGATTTATTTCCCCGAAATTCGCAACCCCGGTCAGAAAATCTTACGGGGTGCGTCAAAATCAGTCGTCGTGATGTCGAAGCAGTCGGAAGACAAATTTAATGAGTGGCTGAACACGAAGCTTCACAGTCTGTTGCCGAAAAGCACCCAGCCTGATGACGATTGGCTCCGAGTTCCCAAGGCAGATTTGACTCGTGCCCAAGACTTGGTCGGACGGTTCCTCGATTAATTTCGGGAATAATTTCTTGGCGGACAGTGGCATCAAAAGATTACGACTCGTCTCACATATTGCAAATAGGAAAGCAGCCTCTGAATCTAAGGTAACTTCTGATGGAGAGAGTGCACAGCTCATTCAACGGCAACAGCGACATCGTCAGTTCGGGCCTCATCTTTACCTGGTAGGTCTACAGCAGCAGCTCAGTCAGCGGAAAATAGCAACGGCTGGGGAATTTTCTTCTGGTGGAGCGTCAGTAATGGCTACAGCGTCTGTATTTTCAATACGTCCAAATGTAAAGCCGTTGTCTACAAGAGGCAGAACCGGCCCGGCCACCGTGACGTGATCATTTCAAGATACCCCGGCAGGTTGACAGCGGTCGCCATGCTCTTACCTGGACAAACTGCTGGTTTCCGGGGTCGCCCTCTGTGCCCGGGTCGTCGCCCAGGTGACCGTTGCCGTGGAGAAAGCTGTCTTCGGGGCTGAAAAGCATCCCAAGGCTGAGACTCCGCAGCTCGTAGTCCGTGGGGTTTCCCGGGAGGAAGTACTCTCGCAGGGCTGCCTCCTGACCAGCACAGAAAGGATGGTCAGCAACTCCCCCTCATTGAGACTTACGACAGAAGGACTGACAGGGCAAGTCAGGGAGTAGAGTGAGTTGAGAGGAGAGATACAGGAGAGTGTGTGGAGGGGGAGTAGAGTGAGTTGAGAGGGGAGAGGCAGGAGAGTGTGTGGAGGGGGAGTAGAGTGAGTTGAGAGGGGAGAGGCAGGAGAGTGTGTGGAGGGGGAGTAGAGCGAGTTGAGAGGGGAGATACAGGAGAGTGTGTGGAGGGGAAGTAGAGTGAGTTGAGAGGGGAGAGGCAGGAGAGTGTGTAGAGGGGAAGTAGAGTGAGATGAGAGGGGAGAGGCAGGAGAGTGTGTGGAGGGGGAGTAGAGCGAGTTGAGAGGGGAGATACAGGAGAGTGTGTGGAGGGGAAGTAGAGTGAGTTGAGAGGGGAGAGGCAGGAGAGTGTGTGGAGGGGGAGTAGAGCGAGTTGAGAGGGGAGATACAGGAGAGTGTGTGGAGGGTGAATAGAGCGAGATGAGAGGGGAGATACAGGAGAGTGTGTGGAGGGTGAATAGAGTGAGATGAGAGGGGAGATGCAGGAGAGTGTGTGGAGGGTGAATAGAGTGAGATGAGAGGGGAGATGCAGGAGAGTGTGTGGAGGGGAGTAGAGTGAGTTGAGAGGGGAGATACAGGAGAGTGTGTGGAGGGGAGTAGAGTGAGTTGAGAGGGGAGATACAGGAAAGTGTGTGGAGGGGGAGTAGAGTGAGTTGAGAGGGGAGATACAGGAGAGTGTGTGGAGGGGGGTAGAGTGAGATGAGAGGGGAGATACAGGAGAGTGCGTGGAGGGGGGTAGAGTGAGTTGAGAGGGGAGAGGCAGGAGAGTGTGTGGAGGGGGAGTAGAGTGAGTTGAGAGGGGAGAGGCAGGAGAGTGTGTGGAGTGGGAGTAGAGTGAGATGAGAGGGGAGATACAGGAGTGTGTGTGGAGGGTGAATAGAGTGAGTTGAGAGGGGAGATGCAGGAGAGTGTGTGGAGGGGGAGTAGAGTGAGTTGAGAGGGGAGAGGCAGGAGAGTGTGTGGAGGGGGGTAGAGTGAGTTGAGAGGGGAGATACAGGAGAGTGTGTGGAGGGGAGTAGAGTGATATGAGAGGGGAGATGCAGGAGAGTGTGTGGAGGGGAGTAGAGTGAGTTGAGAGGGGAGATACAGGAGAGTGTGTGGAGGGGAGTAAAGTGAGATGAGAGGGGAGATGCAGGAGAGTGTGTGGAGGGGAGTAGAGTGAGTTGAGAGGGGAGATACAGGAGAGTGTGTGGAGGGGAGTAGAGTGAGATGAGAGGGGAGATGCAGGAGAGTGTGTGGAGGGGAGTAGAGTGAGTTGAGAGGGGAGATGCAGGAGAGTGTGTGGAGGGGGAGTAGAGTGAGTTGAGAGGGGAGAGGCAGGAGAGTGTGTGGAGTGGGAGTAGAGTGAGATGAGAGGGGAGATGCAGGAGAGTGTGTGGAGGGGGAGTAGAGTGAGTTGAGAGGGGAGAGGCAGGAGAGTGTGTGGAGGGGAGTAGAGTGAGTTGAGAGGGGAGATGCAGGAGAGTGTGTGGAGGGGGAGTAGAGTGAGTTGAGAGGGGAGAGGCAGGAGAGTGTGTGGAGTGGGAGTAGAGTGAGTTGAGAGGGGAGAGGCAGGAGAGTGTGTGGAGGGGGAGTGGAGTGAGTTGAGAGGGGAGATACAGGAGAGTGTGTGGAGGGGGAGTGGAGTGAGTTGAGAGGGGAGATACAGGAGAGTGTGTGGAGGGGGAGTGGAGTGAGTTGAGAGGGGAGATACAGGAGAGTGTGTGGAGGGGAGTAGAGTGAGATGAGAGGGGAGATACAGGAGAGTGTGTGGAGGGGAGTAGAGTGAGTTGAGAGGGGAGAGGCAGGGGAGTGTGTGGAGTGGGAGTAGAGTGAGATGAGAGGGGAGAGGCAGGAGAGTGTGTGGAGGGGGAGTAGAGTGAGATGAGAGGGGAGATACAGGAGAGTGTGTGGAGGGGAGTAGAGTGAGTTGAGAGGGGAGAGGCAGGAGAGTGTGTGGAGGGGAGTAGAGTGAGATGAGAGGGGAGAGGCAGGAGAGTGTGTGGAGGGGAGTAGAGTGAGTTGAGAGGGGAGAGGCAGGAGAGTGTGTGGAGGGGGGTAGAGTGAGTTGAGAGGGGAGATACAGGAGTGTGTGGAGGGGGGGTAGAGTGAGTTGAGAGGGGAGATACAGGAGAGTGTGTGGAGGGGAGTAGAGTGAGATGAGAGGAGAGATGCAGGAGAGTGTGTGGAGGGGAGTAGAGTGAGATGAGAGGGGAGATACAGGAGTGTGTGTGGAGGGGAGTGAGTTGAGAGGGGAGATGCAGGAGAGTGTGTGGAGGGGAGTAGAGTGAGTTGAGAGGGGAGAGGCAGGAGAGTGTGTGGAGGGGGAGTAGAGTGAGATGAGAGGGGAGATACAGGAGAGTGTGTGGAGGGGAGTAGAGTGAGTTGAGAGGGGAGATACAGGAGAGTGTGTGGAGGGGAGTAGAGTGAGATGAGAGGGGAGATGCAGGAGAGTGTGTGGAGGGGGAGTAGAGTGAGTTGAGAGGGGAGAGGTAGGAGAGTGTGTGGGGGGGGAGTAGAGTGAGTTGAGAGGGGAGATACAGGAGAGTGTGTGGAGTGGGAGTAGAGTGAGATGAGAGGGGAGATGCAGGAGAGTGTGTGGAGGGGGAGTGGAGTGAGTTGAGAGGGGAGATACAGGAGAGTGTGTGGAGGGGAGAAGAGTGAGATGAGAGGGGAGATACAGGAGAGTGTGTGGAGGGGGAGTGGAGTGAGTTGAGAGGGGAGATACAGGAGAGTGTGTGGAGGGGAGTAGAGTGAGATGAGAGGGGAGATACAGGAGAGTGTGTGGAGGGGGAGTGGAGTGAGTTGAGAGGGGAGATACAGGAGAGTGTGTGGAGGGGAGTAGAGTGAGATGAGAGGGGAGATACAGGAGAGTGTGTGGAGTGGGAGTGGAGTGAGTTGAGAGGGGAGATGCAGGAGAGTGTGTGGAGGGGGAGTGGAGTGAGATGAGAGGGGAGATACAGGAGAGTGTGTGGAGGGGGAGTGGAGTGAGATGAGAGGGGAGATACAGGAGAGTGTGTGGAGGGGAGTAGAGTGAGATGAGAGGGGAGACACAGGAGAGTGTGTGGAGGGGAGTAGAGTGAGATGAGAGGGGAGATACAGGAGAGTGTGTGGAGGGGGAGTGGAGTGAGATGAGAGGGGAGATACAGGAGAGTGTGTGGAGGGGAGTAGAGTGAGATGAGAGGGGAGATACAGGAGAGTGTGTGGAGGGGAGTAGAGTGAGATGAGAGGGGAGATACAGGAGAGTGTGTGGAGGGGGAGTGGAGTGAGATGAGAGGGGAGATACAGGAGAGTGTGTGGAGGGGAGTAGAGTGAGTTGAGAGGGGAGATACAGGAGAGTGTGTGGAGGGGAGTAGAGTGAGATGAGAGGGGAGATACAGGAGAGTGTGTGGAGGGGGAGTGGAGTGAGTTGAGAGGGGAGATACAGGAGAGTGTGTGGAGGGGGAGTGGAGTGAGTTGAGAGGGGAGATACAGGAGAGTGTGTGGAGGGGAGTAGAGTGAGTTGAGAGGGGAGATACAGGAGAGTGTGTGGAGGGGAGTAGAGTGAGTTGAGAGGGGAGATACAGGAGAGTGTGTGGAGGGGAGTAGAGTGAGTTGAGAGGGGAGATACAGGAGAGTGTGTGGAGGGGGAGTGGAGTGAGATGAGAGGGGAGATACAGGAGAGTGTGTGGAGGGGAGTAGAGTGAGTTGAGAGGGGAGATACAGGAGAGTGTGTGGAGGGGAGTAGAGTGAGTTGAGAGGGGAGATACAGGAGAGTGTGTGGAGGGGGAGTGGAGTGAGATGAGAGGGGAGATACAGGAGAGTGTGTGGAGTGGGAGTAGAGTGAGATGAGAGGGGAGATACAGGAGAGTGTGTGGAGGGGAGTAGAGTGAGTTGAGAGGGGAGAGGCAGGAGAGTGTGTGGAGTGGGAGTAGAGTGAGATGAGAGGGGAGAGGCAGGAGAGTGTGTGGAGGGGGAGTAGAGTGAGATGAGAGGGGAGAGGCAGGAGAGTGTGTGGAGGGGAGTAGAGTGAGTTGAGAGGGGAGAGGCAGGAGAGTGTGTGGAGGGGGGTAGAGTGAGTTGAGAGGGGAGAGGCAGGAGAGTGTGTGGAGGGGGGTAGAGTGAGTTGAGAGGGGAGATACAGGAGAGTGTGTGGAGGGGGGTAGAGTGAGTTGAGAGGGGAGATACAGGAGAGTGTGTGGAGGGGAGTAGAGTGAGATGAGAGGGGAGATGCAGGAGAGTGTGTGGAGGGGGAGTGGAGTGAGATGAGAGGGGAGATATAGGAGAGTGTGTGGAGGGGGAGTAGAGTGAGATGAGAGGGGAGATACAGGAGGGTGTGTGGAGGGGAGTAGAGTGAGTTGAGAGGACTGAGCTAGACAGGGACAGTCCCCAGAGGATCTTGAAGGTTGTGAGTGGTGCGTTCTTGAACTTGGTGCAGGATTGGATTGGGGGCGATTTGGGGGGCACGGTGTTGCTGATGCGGACGTGCGTGCGTTACCACGACGTCGTCCGTTCGGCTGATGCGTGGCACGGAGACCGTGTGGTAGCGCCCGGCACGAGCCGCCTCGTCGCCGTCAAACACCTTCATCTTCTGCTTGCCTGTCCCGATAAAGAGAGACGCCATCTTCAGCGGCGTTGGCTTCCGCTTACCGAACAAATACATTCTAAGGTCGCGCTCATTACACACCAAGTGCTTGCCACAAATGAACCACAGCACCTCGCTGATCTCGTCAAGTAGTATAAACCATCACGCGAGCTCTGGTCATCCTCGCAGCAGCGGCTTTTGGCTAACCATCGAACAAAGACGGTCACCGCATCGCACGCTTTCAGATCCGCTGTTGCGGCCGTCTGGAACGCTCTTCCTTCCGTTATTAGGAAGCCACTGGAGCTATGCACTTTTAAATCATCTAGATTGAAAACGCATTTCTTTATTAACTGCTTTTTGAGTTTAGATAGTTTTCTTGCCCCCCCCCCCCCCCATCTGATTAGCGCAGTTGGCTATGTATGGTGCATTAATACACACAAACACGTATGTATGTCAGCAGCTGACAAAGGTGTGGCCCCCAGTGTGTGGATAAAAGAAAACACACTCCACACTGTGGCCGTGAACAGGTACAATGTACAATGGGTCATGTTCTAGGCAATTCCCCTCCCCCTCATAGCACACAGAGGGGCCTGAGGGAATCATATTTCAGAATATTTCCTTATACTGGAGGAATCCGATGAGCACAGTAAAGTGGGCTAAATGCCATATGTTTCCATCTGTACGGGGATCAAGCGTTGCCCCCTCTCGAGCGTGGGTTTTCGCCGGGTGCTCCGTTTTCCTCCCACTTGTGTAAGAAATAAACACTCATCATTAATTGTCTGAAAACATCTTAAAATATCAAAATCCAATGCAGGACCCTCCTAAAAATAGTTATTAATTTTACAATGTTTTATGATTGCCACTTTTTACATTGGCAAGGATTTCAGAAGTAATTATCGTATCTTCTTCAGGGGTAATTCTCTGACACAGTGATGCACTGCTAAATAAACATTTCTTTAGTCATGTATGTGTGTTGAACTTCTTTCGCACCGTACGTAGTCAACCGTGCTAATCAGAGATGCGAGGAAAGGACAACAAACTAAACACAAAAATAAGTTCTAAATTACAAATGTCCTGACACAATAACTAAAACAAACTGATCAGGGAGAAATGCTCCATTTTTTTTTAAACAGTATCAACAAACTTTGCTTGGAATCCAACCTGGTGATCTGAACTGTGCAGCCAGAGTATAGATAGGCTACAACACAGGCTGGGTGTGGCTCCACGTGTCCTTAACCCGCCCCCCAGCAGTAACGCGACTCCACCGCTGCATGTAAACACTTGCCCAAATAAATTTATGTTTTTGTTTTGACGAAACAAGGACAGAGACAATTACACGCACCAGGACTGTACACGTTGCGCAAGAGGAGGGGAGAAAAACAGAGAGGAGGAGGGTGAAGATGAAACAGCTGCGCGTTACATTCCTGTGAAATTAAAATTGTGCCCAAGAATGAAGGTGCTGTGACGTGGGGAGCCTTGCGGGAAGCGAGGGGGACAGGGGGGGTGGTGGAGGAGCCGGAGAGGAGGAGGAGAGGGGGGGAGACAGGAGAAGAAGGGAGGAAGAGAAGAAGGGAGGAGGAGGAGAGGGGAGGAGGAGGAGAGGATTTACTTAACAAACAACAAACCGCGAGAATTACCCAACCCAGTGCTGCCCACGCACCGTGCAAACACTGCCCCCCCACCCCACAACTGCCGCTTATCACAGTCGCAAGGCGGCATGCCACATGCGCCGCAACACGCCACCACAGACCACGGCATTTTTCCATCACTCGCGTACCCCTTCACGATGTCTGCTGAGAGCAACGAGCATTTTTAAAAAATCAAACAGATTAAGAGCTCAGCTCATTGAAATGTCGGTTGCACCAAGAAGTTAACAAACGCTGCGGAGGCCAAGTATTGCCGTGCGGCGTGTCTGCACCGGCCGCTGTTTTGGGTGGGCTGAGCTAAGATACAAAATAAATTGATACAAAAAGTGGGGCCGCCTCTCATTACTTTCCCTTTTGTCACCAGAGCCAAGCAGGAAAATGATGCCCCTCCCCTCCCCGAAATTACGTGGGCGGATGTACCGTGGCAAATGTACCATGTCAGATGTACTGTGTCGTATGTACCGTGTCGTATGTACCGTGTCGTATGTACCGTGTCGGTTCTACCGTGTTGGATGTACCGTGTCTGGCATTCAATGGGCTTTTTGGGTCGACCCCAAAAGAAAAATCGGGGAAAAAAATTTTCGCACTTCAAAATAAAAAAAAACATGGGAAAAAATACTAATGAGACAGTAAAAATAAGAGAAAGTAGCAGACCCCTGAGTGAAATCGTAGCAACTTATAGAATAGCTGTAGGGGGAAGAAGCGTTCAAAGCTATCGAGTTTGCTGGCGGTGCAATTGCACAAGCGTCGAGCTACAAAGAACAATGCGGAAATTGGAGAAGGTTGCCCCCCCACCCACCAATTGATTCCGTGCACCAGGGCCCATGTATTACTCTACATCACCATGGTGGGGGGGAGGTAGGAGCTGGGGGCTGGACGGGGGGACGGAGCGGGAGTTGAATCGTTACGGGTCGAACATTGGGTCTGAAAACCACAAGCGAAATTGTCAGGGTGACGTGGAGACGTGAGCGAGGCCGACCGCTGACAAGAGGTCGAGAACCTCCAAGGTCAGGTGCGGTGCGCCGCGTCGACAGACACGGAGGTCGCCGTGTTATTACGGTCACGCTTTGCGACGGCGTACCGCCGCCAAAAGGCGCCGAGCAAACAAAGCGATCGGGTGATACTGCCGCTGTCGACGGTGATGTTGTTGTTGTCGTTGTTGTTGTTACAATGGTTGTCGGCAGCAGCGGAGGGTTTAGCCAAGTGAGCCGTTACGGTTGCGGAAATTAAGCCGAATGTTAAGCCGTGCAAACAACGCCGATGTGACGGGAGGCACGGAGGCGAGGAGGCGAGGTGCGCAGCCGTGTTGCGTGCGCACACACGGGCGTGGACGACGAGCCCCGCGTTCGGCCGTTGAGGCAAGCGACGTTAGCGAGCACCTGTTAAGGTTGACACGATACGCGAGGGTGTGGTCAACTTTATTGCCAAACCCCATTTGTCTCGCCAGTATTGATGTTTACAAGCCATAGCCAGGTACTCATGCTAGAATGAGTTGGAACTAAAGGAGGACCAGGACAGATTAAGATTATACGTGCCATTGAAGCTTTCCAGGGACGAGTATTGAACTCAATGTCTCTGGGATCGTGGTGCAGTGGACAAACTACTACTGCTTCCGGTCCCCAGTTTCCACACACAAACACGTACATATAAAGACAAAGACCACCTGTGTGGCCTACACAAGCTGTTAGGGGAAGTGCTTTTATCAAGCACCTATGAAGGTCTGCACAGTGCACAAGAGGGTGGTGTGGCCAGAACCACATCTGGCCACCACACCAAGTACTCATTTATGGCTGAGTCGACCCAGGGGAGGATCAGGATCATTTCAGATATTCGCCCCCGATGTTGGCCATGAACTGGAATTGAACTCGGGTCGGCAGATTCAAAACACTGCGCTAACCACTCCACGACCGGCTCCACATGCGCACACCCCCACGAGCACACACGCACGCACCTGTTTCAGGTGTATTAACAGGAGAGTCTTTATTCAGAGGACCCGGTTGACTGCCCCCGCCATCTGCGATCACACACAACGCACGCAGAAAAAGCAAAGCCTCATGGTCAAAACGCACGATCGCACACTTGTTTGCAAAAGCTGCGTGCAAGGTCTCGAAACGCTGAGGCCGCAATTGTGCTGGGGGTGGGGGGGGGTAGAGAAAGTCGCACGGAGCAGTCGACAACGTTTTTCATGCACGCGCTAATAAATATCAACTTATTATGATATTAACAATACTGCGGGTAATCGGTCACCCGAAATATATTAGATATTATCTGTCAAATGTGTGGTGCGTGTTCTCGGGTTACACTGGTTTCCTCCCACATGAAAATCCCTTCGTAATGGAAAAACGGCCAAACATTCTTCTCTGGGACACTCTTGAGCAAAGAGCACTGAGACGTAGAGAAACTTTCCTAGACATATATAAATGGAGCGTGTGCAGGTACCAGGTGGACTGGCCAGTGATGGGGGTTCACTCGTGCGCAGGCGCTGGGCAGATTGTTGCATCATGGGATCGTGGGGGCTGGCAGCAGCTTGGGGAGGCCTTCACCCAGCAATGAGTCGACTGATCATGGCCGATGATGAAGATGATGTATTATATTCATAATATAGGTTTTTTTTGGGTTAGATCACGTAAATATGCATGTGTCGTTAAACCCGCCACCACCCGACACAACCAATTAGCAAGGTTTGTCACGGAAACAGAACGTGCCAATTCCTTTCTAGTACAGCACACTGGTGTGTTGGGAGAGCAAAGCCACGACATTTTCATTCTGTGTACGACGTTTCGCCAGTAATTACAACTAGCTTCATCAGACAACAGCCAGATTTGCGGAGAAATCCTCCTGTTTTGTTCCTTAATAGAGGGATAGATGTGATGACGTGAGCCCTTCTTGTGCGAAGGGGGTGGGGATTAATGAAAACGCATATAAATTACAATGGGTATCCATTGCTGGTTGGGTTATTCATATGGTAATCAACGTACATTATGCATGGACATTGTTCTAGTACTTCTTGTCGTTTGCGTGCAATAAAATAGCAGTACCTTTTATTCATAATAAAGGTTTTTGGGTTTAGATTGCGTGTGTTTGAAGAGTGAATCCACAACATTTAGAATTTGAGTACGACGACGTTTCGCTGGTAATTACATCCAGCATCTTCGGGCGATTTGCCAGAATAGTGAAGCCATCCATCTGCTTACGGTCTAAAACAGTGCAGGATGACGTCATCATTGTTGAACCCCAAAAGGTTTCGAGATCAGAGGCAGACGTAGGGGGGTTATTGCAATTATGTTGCAATTATGTAAAAAATCAGTAATCAGCCAATTAGCATGTAATAATACGCTTCCAGGCTGCGCTAGAGAGCAGTTAAATTATTTGTATTTTTCTCAATTTCGATGGATTCTCTAATTATTCTTGGCCAGTAATAATTAGTTTTGCATAACACTTCAACGGTATCAAATCAATTGAGTGTCCTTGTTGGAAAGCTGACAGCTGTTTGAGATAATTTAATATTCTTTTGGTGTTCTTTTAGTCTTACGCTGATGTTACGTCCCGTCTGTCCAATAAAGCATTTACCGCATAAGCAATTGATCCGATATACACCTTCCGTTGATTACTTCGGTAATTCATCTTTAGTACAAGACACTAGTTTTAGAATTTTGTGTACCGTGTCAAATCTTACTTTAATGTTTTGCTTTTGCAAAACACGGGCTAATTTGTCAGTTACTCCTGAGATATATGGTATTTTAATTGTTTTGATAATCTGATCACTTTCAGCAGTATTGTTGTTCGGTCTTGGTTTGGCATTCAATGCTCTGTTAATTTGAGAATTATTGTAGCCATTCAGTCGTAGTGGTTCTTTAACATGTTTAATCTCTCTCCTTAGACTTTCACCATCTGACACTATTTTTGCCCGATGTATGAGTGCCTTGATGAGAGAGGATTTCTGTGCTGGGCGATGATGCGAATCTGCATTCAGATAGGTGTCAGTGTGCGTTCCCTTTCAGTAGATGCTGTCTGTTATTTTACCATTTAGACCGCGTCCAAGCAAAATATCTAGGAAGGGGAGTGTGTTGTTCACCTCCATTTCCATGGTGAACTGGATGGCCTAATTTTGTACATTTAGATTATTTAAAAATGCATTAAGTGTATTTTATGTCGATGACACTTTGGTTGTCTGGCCACATGGTAAATGCAAACCGCATCTCAAGAGACTTGTAGGAGTACATAGACATTTGAATGGAGGAGATTTTTGTTATAGGTTTATTTTGGGAGGGGAGGGCAGAAAGGGAGTGGGTGGGTGGGTGGGAGGCTACAGCGCAGATGGGCAAAGGAGGCCATGAAGACTCCTCGTACAGGACGAGACAGTCATTTATAGAAAGTGGTAAGTCTTGAACTAGGACTCGAAAAGGCGAACTCCCATGGGGGGTGGCATTCCAGACTAAAGGGGTAAACAACAGTCATGCGACTAACAGCTTTTTCATGAGGGTTTGGCATTAAAGGATGTTTGGAGAAATCCTTTTGGGTGAGTGTTTTTGCATGTGGGAAGAAGCCAGAGTGCCTTGTGGATAATCAAAGCGTAGAACATAAGTCCCGGTCCCCCCCCCCCTCCGTACCAGCCTCCGCGGCGATGGTTTCCTGAAGATGCAGGTTGCCGTAGAGACGCACACAGTTCGGCGGAAGGACCAGGCTATGGAGACGCCCGAAGGAGCACTCGGGGGGGATGGAGGAGCAGCAGCCGGAGTGAACCTGGGCACGCGGGGGGACGCAGAGACAAGGGGGACACGGGACGGGGGTGAGCGTGGGGTGACATGTATTCGGGAGACATGACAGAGAGATGTGAGAACGTGGACACGCGTGAGAAAGGGTACAGAGGGACACGTGGTCACACAGGGACACGTGGATGTAGGGACACGGGAACAACTAGGAGGAGGACTCACGGTGAGGCCACACCAACCACAGCGCATGCTGCACAGCGCCTCGGAGGAGCTGCACGCCTTGCGGCACACCTCGCAGCGCGAGCCCGACGGCATGTTTCCCTCTCGCCAGTGGTGGATGGAGAGGACCTGTTGGGAGCAACGGGGCGGACGCGGCCACCCTCGTCAATTCGCTTTGCTCGCACACACGCACACACGCACCGCCCTGATTGTATGCATGTTGAACTTCTTTCACACCGTACTTAGTCAACCGTGTTAATAGGAGGTGTGCGGGAAGGACAATAAACTAAGCACAAAATAAGAAATTCGTTTTCAATCCACTGCTTGATGAGGGCGTCCCTAGGCCACATAGGCCGTGGGGATTATATGACCTCATTAAATATATGAAGATGAGGAGCATTGACACAGGACCATATGAATACAGTACAGCAGTGGATTATAGTGCACTTCAATTCTGCTGGGCAGCACATAGATCTGCGGCCCTTTGCCAACATGTGGTGGTCGCCCGTCCAAGCCCTGCCTAGGCTCCAGCCTGCTTAGCTTCCGAGATGAGATGAGATTGGGCACATTCCTAGTGATTTGGTCACGTGAAATGCACTTTTATTGGTCGTACAACAATGATTAAGTAAAGTTATGAAATAACGAGGCGGAGAAGAGCAGGCTGCAGTGCTTGTGAAACACTAAACCTACCAATGAAAAACAATGCAGCAACGTGTCCAGAGAAGAAGAGAGTTGGAGAGTATATTTCCTGCTATGACACATAGATGAGAGATGGGAGAGATGCGATGGGCTCATGTGCAGGAATGATCAGATGTACCGTTACACCGCAGGACTGTGAATGATCTGTATGGCTTAGGCAGGCCTTCATCCAGTAGTGGATTGACCATGGCTGATAAAGAAATTGGTACCACTAAAATGTATCTGCCTCTTACATCAGTGTCTGTGTCAACTCTTGGACCATAAACCAATGGTGATTGACTGAGCAAGTGGTCCTTTTATTTCACAAGCCACGGATCCATTGAGATTTATGATCTCTGCCAATGTACTTTATCTACACAGGGGAGTGCCCATTGAGATTGAACGTTTTTATTTAAACAAGGCAAGGGCCCATTGAGATTCATTATCAGTGTCTTACACAGAAGACTCTGGAGAGCGGGTTTGAAGTAGTTTTATTTTTTTACAATTCAGTTTGATAGCATCATATCTCTGTCACATAGAAAATTTCATCATCCTCATCGTCGTCGTTGTTATTAGCCATGATCAATCCACTGCTGGATGAAGGCCTCCGCCCCTCCTGCAATCATCATCTCTCACAATCCCACATGCGTAATAAACCACCTAGCACTTGCACCCACGCCGATTTCATCTCTCTTGAGATAATTTCGTTCGCTTGCTTTCGTTTTTTTTTATTTTCATCTGGGCAGTTTACAGATTAACGAAATAACATGTAAAACCTGACGTCTCCGAGAGCTGCTTGAGCCTCATCCGAGGCTCACGTCGAAAAATAAAAACTGAAAACAACGCTCGTTTTAGGCCCTTGGCACCGTTACGTGCATGGGCCGTTTTTGCGTTCGTTCAACTGCGGGAGCGTTTACAAATACCGGGCGATTTTCATCGCGCCGAGAGAACATTTGGGGTTCCGCATCGATTATGTATCCATCGGGGAAAACGTTGCGTGCAATTTCGGACACTAAAAATACACACGGAGAGCAGGAGCCTCCCAAAGCGGCGCACGCTCCTGCTGGGCCATGTGTGCCAACCCTGCGGTGAAGTCCCGAGACGAGGGGGGACGAGCGAATTTATTTAGAATCAGAATCTTTACTTACACTGGAGGAATCCGATGAGCTATGAAGCCCTCTTTCACATATGTATGTATTTGTTGAACTTCTTCCGCACCGTACGTAGCCAACCGCGCTAATCGGAGGTGGTGAGGTCCAGTGTTCACACTGCTACTGTGGCGTCCCATTCTATGGCAACGACAAGGGACTTTGGAGTGTAGCTTGCGTACAACGATGCTACCCACTCCGCCAGTAAACTGGAACTGTGACGCAATAATAATAGTTGATCGCAAGATGCACTACAATTCCAAGCGATGGCTCACATCAAATGGTGAGTAATATCCGAACAACCTTTATGACCGACATGGCGTGGGCAGGCCTTCATCCAGCAGTAGTCTGACAGACAGGATGTAAATTATTATTTCTTTATCTAGAAAAGTCTCAACATGTAGACCTCCGCACAAATGGATTTCAATGAGTCACTTCCTATACTGTCGTCTCTTGGACACCTGGCCGCCCAAGCTGACAACACCTGGTATTCTCCGGCAGTCTGCCATTGATGTAACTAACCAGCCTCGGCCCTGCTTGGTTCCCAAATCCACCAGGAAGGGTGGACGCATTCAGGTTGATTTGGTCGCAGGCATTCTGCGTTTTTCCCCGTAAAAATTTCCAGTGCCGACTTCCCCCGCAAACACCGGTGAAAATTGGGGGGGAGGGAGGGGGGGCTGTAGGGGGGCAGAGGGGGGCGGGGATGCGCTCGACGCCCAACGCTTTTGAGACGTACGGCGGACTGGCATGCGGTGGATTTACAACGCACGTCCTATTTGTAAATTCCCACGTCTAAAAATAAGTCATCCATAAACATCCTGGGCTACGGAGCATTGCTTGTTCAAACAGCGTGAAGTTTGCAGAAGCCAGCAAAAAAACCAAGCCCCCTGAATGCCGGCTCTCAGAAGTGACTGGCACCAACGGTGGATGAGGGGGGTGTTGGGGAGGTGTGGGTTTTGGGGGTGAGGGGTGGGTAGGGAGTTGGGGGGGAGGAGACTGAGATCACATGGGTGTGTAAGCCTGCCGAATGTTAACACTCAGCACGGCCAGACACAACTGTGATGTTATTCTAATTATAATTTATTATTGTGCTTGTTTACCGTGGGAAGCCTCACAGAATCCCTTGACTCTTTGCCAGCAGGGTCCTGCCAGGGTCCTGCCAAATCTTTGCAATACAAATTCAAATGCCCTATGTTTATCCAAAAAAGTTTTGCTGAGCATCGGAATTTTTCAGGAGGGTCCTGCTTGATTGGCTTATTTGGTCAATCCCATCAAAAAGTGTTTGGCTTCATGTGGGAGGAAACCGGAGAGACCTAGATTTAACCCACACGTATGAGGGGACACCACTCAAAAACTTCACAAGAATCCACTGATGTGATGCCAAGTGATCAGCACCTCATAACTCATGCCTACAATGGAGCTTCCTCCCCCCAACAAACTCGACAAAAATAAAAACACACGCACCAGGCGTTTGCATCGGCTTGCGTGGCATGGGTGCACTGCCGTCAACGATCCTAACTGAGACAAGATCAAGTGTGCGGGAGTGTTGTGGACTCACCAGCTCCCCCGGCCGCTCCTGGTTGCACTGCCGGCAGTCGCTGCAGGCGAACTGCATGCAGTCGGCGTGCAGGTGGAGGTCACATACTGCAAAGAAGGGAGGGGGGGCAGCAGCAGTGTCATGGTTAGTCATCGCCTGTTCCCCGTCTGCTCGTACAGCCGCTCACCCAATCCGCTCACCTATCTGCCTGTTCGCCCATCTGCTCGCTCGCCCCCATCGCTCATCCATTCGTCCAACCGCCGGACCTTCAATGGAAACTCTGCTTCAAAAGCTAAAATTCAATCATTGGAGCTCAGGGCTGTAGAGGTGCGGGCGGCGGTAGGGGAGAGGTGAGGCAATTTGCTTTAGGCCTCAGATCCAAGGAGGCTTCAGAAAAGGCCAAGGGGACATCTGAGGGGGCCTCATTCTGGCATTTTGGCACGGGTCAGAAAAAGACTTTCACCAGCCGTTGGAGCTATTCTTACAGTGACAATTGCACAGCATCTAAAACACTACAGTTTGATTTATTAAAGTTGTCTTTATTACAAGTGAGATGCGCTGGCAACAAGCCGGTGTGTGCAGATAATGAATTGTAACGTTACAGAATTGAAGCAATTTCTCCACCAATTGGGTGACTTTCCCACAAAATCGATGTTAAAGTAATTTCCTGACAACCAAACCAGGACTCTGGCCTGTAAACTCGTGCAATGCTGAAGAACACGTTTGCGCAACCCGTATCACAGTGGGAATAAACGGCCATGATCATTCATAAACTATAATTAATCAGCGATCGTAAAGTTGACTAAAAACTACAGACTCTGCAATAAGAGGTATATGCCATGCTAAATGTATGAACGCACTGTACAACACTGTATACTGCGAGCGAAACCTTTATTTGTGAGTTTTTATTCATAGTAAGCAATTCTCAGTGGTTAGCCGTGATGTAGTGGTTAGTGCACTGAACTGTGAACCCTGCGACCGATTCCAGGCCATGGTCAACATCAGCGGAGAGCGATATCTGAATGGGTCCATGAGCAAACCCGCACCAACCAGTGTCGTGACCTATGACGAAATAACCCCACGCCTGATATGGCATGGGGAGGGGCCTTTATCCAGCAGACTGAAAAATTTGTATAAATTATTATAAAAAAATTGCTTGAAATTATATCAAGAGAAGACAAAGAGAAACATATGGAATAGATAACATACGCAAGTTAAAGACAGCATATGGTACGTGGGCTTGGGTAGAATACATCTCGAAGAGGGATGATGGCTGGTGGTTGAGAATAATGGAGTGGCAACCGAGCACCAGAATGGGTCAAAGAGGACGTCTATCGAGAAAGAGCAACCAGGGACACTCGTACGCAGATCGCAGCGAGGATTGTTACGTCACGGGAGCGTGAGAGTTGGCGACTGCTTTGGTAGGCCTTCAACCAGCAGTGGACTGATCGTAGCTGATGACGATGACAATTATAATGAAGATTAAGGAATTCTAACCCTGTTGCATATCAGCTCATGTGTCCATTCCTTTCGACTTTAAGCAATGCTCAATTGATGCCATTTCATTTAGGCCTCGAGGAGAAAACGCAACAACGAGCGACATAGCATCCCCGCCGCGGTAGAATTTCATCAATTTTGCCGACAACGTTCGTCCATCGGCAGCATCGCAGTCATCGTTGCGAACCCCATTCACGACCACCAGGTTCTGGTGAAACTGTTGCTGGGAGGAACGTAGCTCCCAAAATTTTCCAGCACAGCAGGACTGTGGTTACGAGAAGCCATCGGCAAGGATGGCGCTATCGGTTTCAACGCAGTTACACTGTGTGGGTTTGTTCGGCATACAAATTCAACCGTGTTTCCTCAGGATGCCGTGCCACCAGTGTGACGCAGTGCATTTTCGGAGTGTTGGGAAGAGGTAATTTTCATTGCAATAGCGCCATCGAATATTTGGCGCTCTTGGCAGAAAGTATTCAAGCTCGAGGCGACGTAGAAGCCAAATTTGAAAAGCGTCCAGCAACTCTGAACTGAGTGGGAATAACTTGACGCCTTCATTTGGCGAATGCCTAAAAAGTGCAGCGGAAGGGTGCGTCCGTGACAAAGACGACTGTGGGCACGTCTCGGCGCGGAGTAGCTGTCCCGTCGCATGCGGCAAACGGGCCGTCAAACTGACAAGTGAGGCCTCCACCAACGCGCCGTCATGAACGCAGGGGCGCAGGCATCTCCGTGGCGGTGTCTCAACGCGAACTCTCTGACCGGGTGCCGGAACAAGCCGGGTTTTATTGCAGCGGCCCCTGTTTTAACGTTTAACGACCACGAAATAAAAATTTTAAAACCTTGGTCAAAAGAAATCCATTGGGTTTAGTTGTTTTTTTTGCAAAAATCTGTGTATCTTCACCCTTTAGAAACAGTCTCGATGTCATCTTCTTAATGTGCTCTAATGGGAAGAGGAGGCGGAAGTGGGGTAGGGTAAGGATCGGAGCAGTCTTACTCTGTGCACACTTTGTTAAGAAATTTTCGTCATGTTAAACCATCCCCGTACGGTAGAGTGCAATGGCGGTGAGCGTTATCAGCGTCAGCAAGCATCGTCAGCGTAAGCGGCGGCCGGGGGCGCTGAACCCCCCCCCCCCCCCATCCCTCACTAAGAGCCCCCGGGTGCACAGCGCCAGCTCACGGTCAAAGCTCTTCAACCGTACAAACCCACGCGCTATTAATACCCCCGTACGCGCCTGAAGTAGAAGTCGGAAAAAGGTTGCACGTAAGAAGAAGACCTGATACGGGCAGTGATGAAAAGGAAACTGGCACTGTTTGGACATATACGTAGGATGGACAACAACAGGAAAATTTCAAGTGTGCTGTTCTAAAAATGTAAGGAACCAGAACGAGAGGAAGATCTAACAGAGAATAGCTTGATGACGACATAAGAGGTTGATGCAAGAAAGATTCGGCACTGCTTGAGCATATTGGCATAAGACAGAGGAAAGTGGAAACAAATGACAAAATGTGCAGTGGACACCTACGGGCAATCTGCCCATGGATGGTGGTGATGATGATGATGACGTGCACGAAGCCTCTTGCCAAATCAAACAGACTGCACCCAAACTCGTCGGCACTATCCAGGCTCAGCCCTGCTTGGATCGGCGACAACCGCGCACAGACGGGTTCGCATAGGGGCGCTGTGGGGCTACGTTGCGGGCTGGAGATGGCAGTGCAGCAAAATCCATCATTGTCCTGTACTTCTATGCTCTCCGCCTCTATCCCCGCACACCGAGCAGCGTGGGTGAAATATGGTCGAGTAATCCACACGACCGGCACGACATCGGGAGGCCCTCATCGAGCAGTGGGGACTTATAAACGAGCTGTACATGCGCGTGCGCAGCTGGTGAATGTTCTAGTTTAATGAAACCCACTGCAGGCTTTGGCGATAAAAAGAATCAATAAACGCCACGACGTCCGTGGGCACGTTGGCATCGCCAGTTTGGGGCATTCATCGGAATCGTTGGGCAGCGGGACACCCGAGAGCCGGCACAACGGGCTTTGTTCGGTGAAGCGTGCCGCAATTTAAATACATTATCAGCTCCCGACGTGAGCCAACTACTAATGCCGGTCGTGCGCAGCGTACGTGACGTGCGCGCAATCGCCGGCCACACTCCACTCCTCGCCAGCTTGACGCGACAAACCTACCCGTCATTTGATGTGTGTGTGTAAAGTGTACTGCCCTTTGTCAATCCACTGCTGGATGAAGGCCTCTCCAAGCCATGTGGGTTGTGGGGGTTGTTTGACCACATTTAGCAGTAGTGTGACCCCGAGTTCGATTCCAGCTCAAAGCCAAAACCAGTGACTATTATCTGAACCTATTCTGGGGCTCCCCTAGGTTAACTCAGCCTCAAATAAGTACCTGGTGCAGTGTGTAAACATCACCACTAGGTAGACAAATACACACCCCCTCGTGTGCCGTGTCGGTCTTCATCGGTGCTGGCTAACAGCACTTGCCCCAGCAGTCTGTTGAGGCTGTATGGGAGATTTTTGTCTTTTTTTTGTAAAATCCAATCCACTGCTAGATGAAGGCCTCTCCAAGCCGTGAGGGTTGTGGGGGTTGTTTGACCTTATTTCAATAAGCTGGCGAATATATCACAAGTCACTGATATTATCCGTCGACAGGTTGTCTGAAAGGCAGAATTTTTGTTTCAGAATAATTTGAAGAGCTTGACGTCAAGTTGGCTTGAGGCTTCTCACTGCAAGCACTTATGGGTAGGGCCACACACAGAGCGTGTGATCCACATGCGGTGCAGATGCACTTCTACTCTATTCGACTGCAGTATTTGAGAGCAGGTAAAGACAACGCGAGAGTGAAACGATTGCAGTGCGACATCAGACTGCGAACGTCATAACAGTGATATATTCTACAGCGCGAAGAATTCATATTCATGATTAAACAATAAACGGTAAACATCGTAACCGCTTAATTTGAATCCAACAGGGCGTTAACAAATGACTGACAGCCCTTTTTATTTAAAGCAATATTGTTCATGTATGTGGACCACCGTAGCTACACGATCCATTTCCATATGTATTTTTAGCAATGTGACAGAAGAATTTACATCGTAAATTAAGCAAAGTTTGCTTTTGATGGGAGCAAACCAGACAGGCTGGGTGACAATTTATTTATTCTGCTCCGAGAGCCACCGTGGCCTTCAGCGCAGAAATGTGGCCATGTCAAGTAAAAATGTTACCTCACATCATCATCAGTGCTGATCAATTCACTGCTGGATGAAGGCCTCCACCAAACTGCGACAAAAATAGAAATTCCTCATCTACTGTAATGCACTCCATGTCATCCGTACGGTTGGGTGGGTGCCTTGGTTGAGGTCTCGGAGCCTTGGGAATTCCCTCAAAATCCAGCGAATCTTAGAAATTTGATTTCACATTTCCAAACTAGGCCCCCTGTGGAATCAAATGTGGTGTTACCAATTCAAGCTTCATGCGGCCTGATTCCACAAAAAAGCGAGCCCAGCGTTAAGCAATCTCTTTCAATATCAACTATTCAGGTGCTCCAACATCCATTTGCGCACAGCACCAAATTATATCACTAATAAGCTTTGCTCTATTTACAATCATCAACATGCCGATAGTTTTTGAAAAATTTTTTCCAGTGGAAAGGGACATTTCCATCGAAGCTGTGGCCCGTCCATAATAGTTATAAATGTGAGTGGAAAGTGAGAAGCCAGGAAGCAAGAAACTGGGAAGTGAGAAGCAGCAAAGTGGTACAAGTGGGAGAGTGAAGAGCCGTGAAGCAAGAATAAATCAAGTAGCGGAGCAAAAAGTAGGAAAGTGGGATACAGAGTGGCAGTGAAATGTACAGAAGCAGTGGAGCAAAAAGCAGTTAAGCATAAAAGCGTGAGAAGCATAAATGTTAAAAGTGGGGAAGCAAGAACCAACACAAATAAGCATAAGGGAAGCAAGAAACAGAAAAGCGGGGAGCAAAGCACTCGTCGCATGCACCTCTCACCTTCGCATCGGTAGGCAAGGCTGTCCTCCAGGTGCCGCCTGCACACGTTGCAGAACTTCTTCTTGTACTGCCCCGGGGAGGTGAAGCAGTGTGCCACGGGGACCTGTACACAGGTGAGGGCACCTTCACGTCAGCACAGCCCACCACTGGCCAACCGGCCAGGTACCAGGCCAACCGTTCCGGTGCCAGCCACCAGCTGGCCGAGTACGGACCAAGCGTGCAGGTGCCAGCCAGCTGGCAAGGTACTGACCAGCCAGCAGCCGGTTACTGCCTAGATGGCCGGGTATCAGCGCACAAAGGTACGCTTACGCGCGTTGGTGCGTATGTGACGGAAGGAGCACTCAGCGTGATTGGCAAAGCAGTGCGGGTAAAAGAATCCACGTAAGGATTTATCATTCCCACCAGCAAATCAGCTCGTGTTTGTCAAATTCTTATGGTAAGGAACGCGGCGGTGTCTCCATTGGTCGCAATGGGGATTAGAGGACGCTCAGCCGCAGGTTGTAAAATGTCATCTTAGGACTGGATAGGGCACGTTGCCAGTGGTGCTGATGCCAGATGGTCGAGACTAACAACAGAATGGCAGATAACAGAGAGAACGCGCCCAAATGTAACTTGAGTGCGGAGATTGAGCGACGAGGTCAGCTCGTGTGCAGGAATGGTCACCGTCGCAAGACCGTGAGAGACGGCGGACGGCTTAGGGCAGCCCTTCATCCAGCAGCAGATAGATCGCGGCTGACGATAACGATCGCGATGGTACGCGACCCTGAGGCTCTACTTAAAGCGACTTTAAATTTACATGCGGAAATTGGCGGGACGATTAGTTGGCTGTTTTTTTTCGGGTCCCCTCCGCTTTTTGCATCGGGATAATCGCTCCACACATTGCGGGAGGCCGCCGGGCTCTGGGTGGCCATGCAGGAAGTTAGCCCGCCGCACGGACTTGTTTGCGCCTTCCAAACACGCGCAGGTGTGCTATTCTGGGCCGGCCAGTGGAAAAACTTTGTGGCCACCAATTACGTCAAACCGTCCAAACACACGCCAACCAGAAAGGCAGTGCGGTAATATATTTGGAGGGGTTTTTATTTTCCCTGCCTCCGGAGAATGGCGGCATAGGTTGTGATGTGCCAGCCTTTAATACGACCGTGTAACACATGAACAAACCTGTTGATGAACCGTGGCATCGTAGACATCAATAAATTATTACAAAAAACGATTTCACAAAATCTCATAGCAGTGCACTTCGTAAAGTGAAAAGACACGGAAGTCGAAGCAGATGGCGTGAAATCCTCTTTGAATGTTTTTCGTCAGTTTTTCTTTTTGTGATAAAGTCTCGGTCACCAACAATGGGGCAAAATGGCCACGGTGATTTGACAAGTTTTGGCCATTTAGTCGAGGAGTAAATCGGACCCAAAGACCATGCAAATTACCAAACCATTCTCTCCTCATCACTCAGTCACTTCCTCGTCACTCTTTTATTGCTACGACAACGGTTGTTGCGCCATGTATACACCGCGCCATCATACCCCACCCCTTTGTCACAGACTCGTTCTATCGGAATGGCAGTTTTCTCTCACCATATTTTAGGAAAAAAAGGGCTCTCTTCCTCCTCTCTCATTGCTCTGCTATGTAACCCCCTCACACACTCTCCTTTTCTCAGGTTGCTATGAGCCTGACACAAAAAAAGTGAGTTGGTTCTTATCTGCTGTACTATCATTAGTGCTCTCTGTTTCTGTCTTTGGAACTCCCATGCCATTGTCTCCTTTTTCCAAGTTCATATTATTTGTTATTATCACTATTATTTAAAATTACACTCGTTTACTCGGGAAAGCCTCACCGAGTCTCATGACTCTCTTTCAGGAGGGTCCAGCTAAGATTTCACAGTAGTGGGTGATGGTTGCTGTGTAATATTCAAAATGAGTCATTTGCGGGTCATCTTTCAATTCTGGCCAAGTTGGACAATGGCTGCCGACACACAATGGCTGAACCCTTGCGAACGACATGAAAGGATCTTTAGCATCCACTACGAAGAGGACGGCGCGTAGTATTTTTAAATCCTTTATATTAAGTTCACTTGCTTGCTTGCTTTCGCGCTTACGACCGTGCAAATCTTTCGGTCGTTTTTTAACCCACTTCCCGTGATCCAATCGAGCTGACATTTTGCACACAGACTCGTTGTGCGTGACAATTATTTTCGTAAAAAAAAATTCCTAAATTGTAAAATTTTTAGTCATTTTTTTTATATTTAATTACCAATTGCTTAATGGTGGCAGGCAATCATCTGACCCATAGGTGGCAGCCATCTCAAGCCAGAGGACGAGAGGACTCTAGCCGCCACGCATATAAAGGATTTATAGTGAAAAACGTTGTTTTTACGGGTTAATTATTAGGATTAATACGCACGCAGTACTAATTGGGACGGCTGCTGGATTCGAACTGTGAATCTCTGCTGCATCAACGCCCCTATGACCTCGCTCAAATAAAAAAAGAGTTGAAAACGCTAAGCTTCCAATCTCTTTCTATGTACAATGTCCCTTCTCAAAGACGTTTGCGATCATGTCCTTCCAATTAGCTCTCCGCACCTCCGATTAGCACGGTTGGCTATGTACGGTGCGAAAGACGTTCAACATACATACATACTGCTGACCGCTTTGTATTAGAGGCATTTGGCTAGCTGCGGCTGTGCAGAATGTTTTCACAGGGGCTGAGTGGGCGCCTCGAGACGGGCTTACCTTGACGCAGGTGGCCAGGTGAGTGGAACACATGATGACCACACTCTTGAGGCATTTCTCGTGCGACATGAACTTGCAGACTGCAACAAGATGGGAGAGGAAGGTAACACAGACTGCGGGGGAGGCTTCCGTGCGTTACTCATGCTTTTGCAAACGATTTCAACCATAACTCGGGCTCATTCCTCTCTGCTGCGCTCATAGTTTGCTACTCCCATTGTTTTTCTTCCCCAGCCATCTGTGATGTAGGCCCCCTACCCCTGTTCAAATCCAGGCTCAAGCCCTGCCTTATTTCCCCTTTTCCTATCACCGACTGCCTCTCCATCTATTAAATAAATGTTGCGCACCGTTGCTGTATGGCTTCTTGAGAGGCAGTCGCATTTGGCTGTCGCTATATAAATCCCAATTGGACTGTACAGTAATTGTAAATTGTAAAGAAGCATAGATACCCATGTGTGCAGGGAATATATCTGGAGTGGGAGCTGCTGTTGCACAGAGGTGAACACATTGGACTCATATCCCCAAAAGGGCCGGTTCAATTCCCTGGCTTAAGGTTGCATGGCAACAAAAACTGCCCACGTCCACTCAACAGAAAACAGAGAGAGTAATATTGAGAGGTGAATCCCTTGTGGTGGGGTAAAGTGTGGGTAACTCCCAACTCTATAAACATGTTATCACACAGGCAACATCTTCACCTCTAGATGCCATACTTTAATGTAAATGGTGCAGTGTTTCTCAACGCCAGCCCTTGGGACCAACCACTATGACAGCCAATCATTTGCATTCATATGGAAATGCAGCAATTGCCTGATGATTGATAATCACAGGAGACTGTACCTTGGAGTTTGAGAAACGCTGATGTACAGTGCGAATACACGTTGAAAAGGTGCGGCTGAGACTGCTGCCGTGTTTAAACTTACAAATACTTTCAACGAGACAAGTCTGTAAACCCTTCAACATAACACCACTTGTTTTTTTTTAACCCCTTCACAATTGCTACGTGACACTCTCCCCGTGTTCGTTTTGAACTCACTGTCACCCGGAAACTAAAAATGCACACTTCTCCCCTCCACAGAGCTCTCGCAAAGCAACCAAACCGGATTTTTTTTCAGCCACGGCCTGACCTAACGCTTGGCGAACATTCAAAATAATTAAGCCGTGTCAACAATTGGCCCGCAAAAAGTTCCGTCAGTGGATCGAGGACTGAGCGCCCCCCCCGCGCCCCCCCGCGCCCCCCCGCGCCCCACCGCGCCCCCCCCCGACTCCCGAGCTCAATTGCCCCCGTAGATGATCAAGGTCGGCATGGAGCCGTCGCGTCGTAACGATTCCAGTCGCGAAAACTAAACACAATCGCCGGTGACGCGCACCACAACTGGCACGTGCGATCCGCTCGTCTGTTCGAGCTAGGAGGAGAAATTAACCCTTTCCCATTCCAATGACGTACATGCGTGTACGTCATCTGTAAAAGGCTATGCGGGAGGGCGGGTGGCACAGTTTGTCGCTAGAGTTCTCTGCGGTGAGCACAATGTCTTTAAAAAACAGCGGCGTGATCCCTTTCTAAATAATATTAACGCTAACCGCTTACGCGTTCCGAGATTCAGCAGTGAACGGGATCCACCCTGCAATTTGTAGACATCTCGGAATGGGAAAGGGTTAGGCCACGGCGTTGCATTACGGAGGGAAGAGAAAGAAGGTGCGATAATACGAAGAGCAAAGATATGTGCCGGGAACAAGCGGCTATGGGCAGGAATCACTGAGAAGTCTGATGAGAAGGAAGGTGGCGTATGCGGGATATGACTAAAGGGGGGGTCACATCGGGAGATATGACGGCGACAGCGAAGGTGATTCTGCAAGGGTACATGGGAAGGAAGAGGGGAAACGGAAGGGAAAATATCGGTTTGTGGGACAGTGTGAGCAGTTGGACGGGGCTCTCCATGAAATTCTGAAGATCGAGGAAGATATAAAGCACCTGTCATGGGAATCAGCCCTCAGATGTGAGGATGATATTATTAAGTCAGTGGTTGTCAACCTTTTTGGTATGGCGCCCCCCAATCAAGACCACTAGACCCTGCACAGACCCGCACCCCCCCCAAATCCCACCACTAGCATCCTTCCCAGGTTACGAAGGCCATAACACAGTGAGGTCACATGTCCACGCCTCGAGTCAACACGGTGTTTGTTTCGCGTCGAGTTTGTGCTTTTTGTCATTGCATTGTGGTGTTGACGTTCCCCGCTCACATTAAAAATATCTCCTGCACTGTATCCATGCTGCAGCCTGTGCACCCCTGCCCACCCCCCAAAATGCTTTCGTGCCCCCTTTGGGGGGGGGGGAGCTCTAACTGCTGTTCTAGGGAGATAGTGCAACATCTGGCTCCGAGCCACCACTCGGCGTGTGACACAGACAACGCGTGAAGCCCTTGGCCGTCTGCTTACGAATCACCGGCAATACAACGCCGGCGCGGCGGCACGTGATGCACACAGGGGCATCGTCCCGTCCTGCTGCGGTAAATCATCACGACGAGCTTTGTAATTGCAGCCGATAACGATTTCCGTACTAAACAAGCGCCACACTTTTTTCTCTCTTCTGACCGTTAAGGTGGCTTGGGAAAGTGTGCGAGTGTGTGTGCGTGCGCACGTGTTTTATGATCACAGTTTCCTTTTAACATTGACTACGTCACGTCAACTTGCTCGGCTCGCCACGCTCCGCGCCGAATGAAAAATGCCGCAGTATCATTAACGCTAAGCGCTAATCTATATTTCCCCAAACAGCGGCCGGCAGACTGCAAATTACGGGAGAAAGCCAATACGTGCCTGCAAATAGCGGCGTGAACATTCAATCACAACTACCAGGCAAACGCTGGTGGCCGTCTTAAGCGACGTCGACCGCGCTATGTGTGCGAAACCAGTTTGTGGGGCTGCTCGCCACGAAGAGCGCATCACACCAGGCCAGGCGTGTCTGCACTCGCGCAGCCGAGCCCTTGTTCATTGTTGATCGAATGTCACGGCGCAGGTCTCGTGTTGCTCTTCACGCACGGGGCATCTTCCCGTGCCCCACCCAGCCACCGCCGCCACATGCAAGGAGCCCGTTCCCGAGCGCCTGTCTTTCGGTAATCAATGTTCTGGGACGTCGCGGATAAAGTTCGATAGGTATTTTGTTGGTGTAATTCGACACAGGGTGCTAACATTACGTTTGTAAAGCCACTGGCCGAATCGCCCGCAATGCGAGCCATTATGTCAGATTTCGGAAGCTATGCAGGGCTGAGCCTGTGCTTGGGACGGGTGACCTCCATGCACACAACAGGTGTTGTAAGCTGCTTCGGAGCTGTGTTGTGTTTCACAGACGGTTGTGCAGCAATATCCATCGTTGTGATATACAATGTTTCTATGCTTCACCGTCTATGCTCCGCGCCTTCACCAACCTGCTGTGGCCAACATGGCCAAGTATCGTCAAATAACCCCCCCATGACACACACGGTGCAGGGAGGCTCTCATCCAGCAGTGGATTGACAAAAGGGCTGCACATGTCCATGATGTTGGAGTCACCATGATTGACAAATAAATGCCACCTCGGTTAAAAAAATTACAGGGTGCTAATTGCAGTGAAGTGCCAGCTCAGATCTTCCACCAAAAGCCAACCAGTTTCAGGGAAAATTATCACTAAACTTCTCATGTCACCTTATTTGTGTGCATACACTGCGGTCCTGACAAGCTGGCTGTCAAGCCAAACAGATCAATGAAAAGTGGAATCTCGATCCGTCTTATACCTCCCCTAGGCTGACTCCACGTTAAATGAGTACTGTACCAAGTGACATAGACGTATGTATATTCAACTTCTTTCGCACCGTACGTAACCAACCGTGCTAATCGGAGGTGCGTTATACAGGCATCGTGCCACACGGGGAGACAAAAGCAGCTAAAATGCACCCTCGTGTGTGACGTACCATGTGACGGTCTTAACAGGTGCTCGCTAACAGCAATTCTCCCTCCGGCTTGTAAGACAAAACGGGATATTTCTAAAGTTATTTGTTTCAACTGCCTCCTCCTATCGCTCCCATCCAATCTCCACGGTTTCACATTCCGGCTCAAACACAAACGCGTCCAACCGGTCTGGGTGGATGAGGAGTTCCCAGTTTGAATAGTGAGATCGCTGCTGCACCGCTCATTGCGTCTGCACCGCTCATTGCGTCTGCACCGCGCATTGCGTCTGCACCGCGCATTGCGTCTGCACCGCGCATTGCGTCTGCACCGCGCATTGCGTCTGCACCGCGCATTGCGTCTGCACCGCGCATTGCGTCTGCACCGCGCATTGCGTCTGCACCGCGGTGCAAGCCTGTCGTTGGTGGCATATCGAACATTGACTCTTAAATCGAATCGTGACTCGGAAGCGTTACAATTTGTCGAAAAGTTATGCGAGGGGCAGTAGCGTGGCTATCGAGTGTGCAGGCGGTGTAACTGCATCAGGTTCCACAGGTCAGGGGGGCCCAGGCGCCGAGGCTACGATGAGTGGGGAAATTAGACAGGACCTCCTTGCACCAGGACCCATTCCAACCACGGTACGCCACTGCCTGTAGTGCAGCCTCTTGGATGGGAGGGTTGGTGGATCACACCAGTTTGTTTGTTCCAAACTCACTGGCAGCGAGATGGCCAGAAGATGGCAGCACTAGAAGTGGCTTCTTAAAATCCATTCTGTGCAAATCTTTGATTATCCTCTAGCATGCATGCGATGGGTTCTCTGGCTTCCTCCCACAAGAAGACAAACACTCATTAATGAAATTTCCCAAACGTTCCGGTTCAGGACCCTCTATAAAAAGAGTACTCAGACTTGGTGAGGCTCTCGTGGGTAAACAAAGGGCATTGTTTTGCAACAAGCCTGCGCTCAGATGATGCAATAAACTCTGTGAGATTGACTCACATCTCACCAAAGCAGAAAAAAACACAGAACGTTTACATCGCTAATGTTTAACATAGAGAAAACTGCAGCAGCTGTGCAAATCGAAATATATTCATGTTTTTTGGTTAGATATGAACAGCATATTTGCTATTTTATTGTTACATTCCTGAAGCGAATTGTCCACAAAGTCCA